ACACGAGATTCGTCACGAGATGCATTTGGTCCTCCATGTGCTCAAGTTCCCAGGAAAAAGCAAAAAAAACAGTAGTGATGGAATCCCTTTGAAACCAACAGGGGAAAATGACAAATATTCTTAACTGGCTTAAGCAAATGGAGTTTGGTTCGACTTTTCGAGGCACACTCCAAGAGAGCCAGGCTTGCCAAAGTCGCCAGCAGGACCAACCTAAGGGACGGCTGAGCCGTCGGCTGGCTCGATAAGACGCCCCCTGTTGGACAACCGATTCATTGGAAACCAACCCTGGGCTCCAAATGTACCCACGAACGAGCGAGGCGGGAATGAAAGCAAGCCACAGGCACTATGGACGGTGAGAGAGGTGAATCGAGCCCGACTTGCATGGAAACCCATCATGGTCATATTAGCATGGTTCTTTGGCAACCCCCCCGCCCCCGGAGCTGCTTCCGGGATGTTTGGAAGGGAATGCTCGGACTCAGCATCTGGCGGGATAGCGGTGATCGACAAGGCGGAAGGCGACGACGGTGAGGTTTGGCCTGACGACTGACGAGTCGATAGCGTGGGACCCGTCGAGCGGGGTCGAATTGCAGGTATGAGCTTCCATTTGGTTAAGACCCCTGGAAATAATAAAAAAAATTTATTATTTAAATATTATAGTGATGATTCCCTTTAAAACCAACAGAGGAAGAACAAACATATTCTTAAGCAAATGGAGGTGAGAGAACAAACCTACAACCCTTGTGTTCCAACCCATTTAGGGTCACCCAAATCGTGCTTGGCTTGACTCTTGACTCCCAAAAAACTACAAGCGTGGACCCAGTACCACGGATGGACCTATAAGTGGGATAAAGCACCTACCAACTGGTGCAGCAATTTCTCCATCACTTGGTTGACGTTGGAAGGGGAGCAAAGATTTGAATTTTAGCAGCTAAGTGGTTGGATTTCAACCGCTAAACCACAATAAGCAAAAATGATTCAAATGTTTCCCAACAAAAACCTTGCATAGTACGTGCAGAATGTTTCAAGACCAATCGAAGCGACCGTCCAAGCTCGCTTTGCGCTCCGAACTTTCAGCCGCTCGAAACCCCCGCTCGAGCGCTTGTAGCTGTACACCGTGCATGCCTCCGCGCGAGGAGTTTTTCTTTCCTTCAAAGGGTTGACTTGCTGGCCCCAAGACACGTCTAATTCAGCAGCTTTCCGGCAGAATGCCCCAGGAACATCTACAGGACATGGCGCCCAAACACCCGAATTTGGCTGTGTTGCTGAAGAACGTCCAGTAACCCAACCCTTTGGATTCTTCCGGCGCCCTTTCTGGCGATATGGCCACGAGCCGAGCTCCGCGAGCTGCCAGGCGCGCGGTGGCACTTTGGGACCGATCGAAGCCAGAGCCTCAGGAAGTGGCGCTTCGAAGCTGGCGTGAGGCAATGGGGTCGTGTTGGGTTGGTACCCTTGGGCTGATGCCGGCCCCCGTAAACTTTCGAAAAGAAAGAAACGGCACTTCCGGCTTGGGAACCTTGGCTCGTTTCTATCATGGCAAAACCCCCAAACCCAAAACCCAGGGCAACACGGGGTATATGCTCACGTGGTGGCTAGTGGTTGCAAATCCAATCAAACCCTGGGTAGTGGAAACCATCTTAGATCCTTTCAGGCTCTAAGGTGTCTGCTTCTGGGAACCATCCGGGCCTGCTTCACCCCAGAAAAACACAGACGCACAGACACCAAAGCAGAACATCCGACGCATAAAATGGGGCTGAAGGGCCATCCAGGCTATCCTCAAATTTATATGTATATATATAAGGCTTCTAGGTGGGGAATGTGATTTCGCTGCAAAAGCGTATATCAATGGTACCTAACCCAGGGACGCTAGGTTAAGCATTTAGAATGTGGGTCAAACAAAATGTGGATGCTGAGTTTATGGGATGTGCCAAAGCCAGCTAACCACTTCAAATGGTTTAGGGGAGCTGATATGTAAGATCTCCACCAAAGTGCGCAGAGTTTGTAAAGGGCAAACTCTATGTAGCACAGTGGTATCTCAAAACAATGAAGTGGCGCAGTTGCTGCGTAAGAAATGCGAACCACTAAGCGGTGGAATCGCGTCTAGCTGTGTCTCTCTAGCTGCTCCCCCCCCTTGCTGGAAATCAGCAGACTTTGTGGGTACATGATGTTCGATTCTACAATTCAGGGTTCCCCCCCAAGCCATCCTTCTCTTTGGCTTTTAGGTGCGAACAATCCAACGAACTTTGGGTTTCCTTTTTAGGGGGCTGGGGTCTTTCTCAACACCCGTGATTCCTGAAACCAGCAAGCTTAACCCAGTTGAAAGAAACCCGAAAGGTAGAACACGGTAGAACCGTTTGGGACTTCCTTTTAAAAGTGAGCATGTGATATCTGTGGAAACGGGGAAGATCACCCGCTCTGCGATTCTTAAAGCTTTAGTTTCGGTTCATTTACGAATCTCACAATGTAATCCGCTCCCCCAATTAATGAATGACCCCAATTAATAATAAATGCAAATCCGGGGCCCGGGACCAGATTTCCCCTCCACACAATTCATTTTCCATTGCGCCAATACTAAACCAATACTAACGTCTTGGAATCCTTATTAGGGGGCACTTTTGGCAAGCTTCCAGCCTCACTTTTCAACAGGTGGGTTCCTCAATTCCCCAAAAGGTTGCTTTCCCAAAAGCTGGCTTCTCAAAAGGTTGGGTTCTTTTGGTGGGTTCCCAAAAAGGTTGTTCTTGACTCTGTTGTCCCTGGCTGTCCCTGACTCCCTGGCTGGCTGCGTTTGTCACCTGGCTGCGGTCTGTCTGGTCTGGCTGCCTGGGCAGAGCTCTGTCCTGGGTTTGCCCCAACAAACTACGAAACATCCTTATTGAACCGCTTACTCGCGGACCTTACAATTCAATCCATTTCATCCAAATCCTACGTGAACCCTCACATTGTTGGAAAAGCAAAAAAACAACCCCAAAAACCCCAATTTAAAAAATATATTTTTTTGGGGGGATTTATTTATAATAGGGGGGGGGGGCCGTATTTATTAATAGGGGGAAGAGATTAAGATCAGTCAAACAGAGATCGTCATGCATGGTCATGCCCTGCAATTACTTGGCTGGTAGTTGACTCCAAAACTGTTTGCCTTCCAAAAAGGGGAAAACGGGGAGCGACCCCTTTGCTTGTTGATCTTAACGTAGGGATTTCCCCACTCGACTCCGCCAGGGCGCTCGACTCCGCGGCAGTTGGCAGTGGACGCGCATCAAGTGGACGCGCTGCTCCAGGGTGTTGTCCTCGGCGATGTGGCTCCCAGAATTGTCCTGAACAAATCCCATGGCGAGCAAAAAGATGTTCTAGCATAATGGGAACACAGAAAACACATTTTTAGACTTCAACCATGGCCACAGTTCGGGGTCCATATGTATTCCGGTACAACTAACCTCTAGCCAATCCATTTTAACGAGAACTCCCAGAATTGTCCTGGCGTTGTTCTCAAACTAGGGGCTGAGTTCATGTTCATTCTGTTCAACCATCATTACTTTCAAAACCAACTGTTTTCGCCGAGTTGTTGGTGGTGTTCGGGAAAAGCGGGTCCTTGAGTATTTGTTGTTTCCAGATGTTCGGCCGGTTATCCTGGGAGTAGGGAAGCAAGTTGAGCAAAGGGCACCTGCTGTGAAATCCCCCCCCCAACACGCCATCTTGCAGCTTTGGCACGGTGGGGAAGGGGTGCGTCGAGATAGGATCTGGTGTTCCTTTTGGCTTCCCTTTGAACTAACCTTTCAAAGGGTGCCCTCAGAAAACAAAAAAACTGGGGAACCACGTTTCCAGTAGAGCTTTTCTGGCTTCCAAGAACATGCCAAATTATCATCGCTATGACTACCTTGTATCTAAACGGCAAGCTGGGAACCTGTTTTCCACAACAAGGTTTGTCACAAACAGGGGACACCCACAAAAGAACTGGTGGTTTTGCTATTGGCTTCCCTTAAGCCAACCTTGAAAAAGGGTACCCCCAAACAACATACCAGCATGCTGCACCCAACGCCCCCGCATGGCAAACCCTAATCTCTATATTGGAATGGGAGTCTCTGGTTTTCAAGGAACCTTTCTCTGAAGGGAAATCAAACATATATCCACCATGGTTCTGGGTGTTCCCATTTAAAAACTCTTAGCCAACTCATACGCGAACTGTTTGAAGGTCTGCGGACCACATTTTGAAGGTCAGCGGACCACATCCGCTGGTTTCCCAAAAGTGAACGATCTGAACGAGAAACAAAGAGTACAACCAGGACAAACAGTCCCAACATACTTCCATGTAGATTACTTGAAGAACCCGGTCCTGTGGACAAGGTCATGATCTGTTCAACTCTATCCCCAGATCCCTCGCAACGAACGAATTCTTGGCCCCTCAGTACACAAAACAGCACAAGGCGACATGGTTTCCCTTCTAGTGGTTCTCTTCTATTCGATTGGACATGGCCATGCTTTTCATGGCTAAAGAAAACAACTCATTTCACTCCTACTTCAGCTTCGCCGAGGCTTGCACTCCTTCAGCCGCGGCAGGCTCACCAGGCGGGAAGCTGGAGCTTTGAGCTTGAGATCTGGGGAGAGAGCCCCAAAGCATAGAAGTTGGTGTTGCTTTTTGTGAGCTTCTTTGTGGTGCAATTGGGTAGGGGGGGGGCAACAGTGGCGCAAAGCAAAATGCTGCCCTGCGGACTAACATAGGCTTCTGTGGCACCCAAAGAGGAAGGAGCCTCCTCAATGTTGTCTGGTTGGCTGGTTGGCTGGCTGGCTGGTTGGTTGGTTCCTTCACTCAATCTGCATCGCCGGAACCCAAACCCAATTTGCAGCTGATTTCAAAGGGGAACCTTGGCAGACCCCTCCAACTCAAGCTAAGAAACACAATCGACTGGAGGTCTGGGTGCAAACTTCCCTCATTCTGTTCAGATCATGCGTCAGGCAGTCTACTAGCTCTGACTGCGCAGTTGAGCCCACAACCGCAGGTGGATTCAGGCTCACTTCACCTTGGAGAGGACGTTTGTCTGGCCACCAGCAGAGCCACAGATTTGCCCCCCCCAGTAGGTGCCATCCTTCACTGTGGGCTTGAACGCTGCCCAGGCCTTCTCGTTCACGATGCCCACAAAGTCGACCGGATCTCCGTGCTGCTTCACCTCAGGTGGATACTTGTACCACCCAAAGCTCTGGGTGTACTCAGTGTCAGCATACTGCCAGTAGGTAACGGCTGCGCAGCCCGCGTTGGCCCACAGGGCCAAGTTGTTTGCGGTCTCCTGGGCCGTCAAATAGCATAATTCTGAGAGCCAGATGGGCGAATTGGCCATGAGTTCGCCCGATTGCTTCCTCGCCATGTCCACATACTCTGGGGCAGTCACCTTCTTGAGGTGCGACAGTTTTCCATCGCTAGGATAGTAATGGATGCTCATGACCAGCTGATTCTTCTCGCCCCACTGCTGCAATTTCTGTTTAGCAAAGCTGGTGATAGGCACCAGTGACAGGAATCTCATGTAGTTGGACCCACTACCCAGCGACCCAAAGCCATCCTCCAACACCAAGGGCGTTCGGATCGCGCACTTGTCGAGCTCTTCCAACAAGGCCCCGTAGAAATCATAGAGGTCGCGACGGCAACTCATGAAGCGATATAGGTGGGGCAAACCAGCCAGTACTGGCTCGTTCAAGACCTCCACCCCCACGCAGTTCCAGTGCTGTTCCCACTTGCTGCAGAGGAACTTGATGTGTTCCACGAAGGGTTCGAACAGATTCTGTCGGTCCCCTTCTTTTTTGTGAGATTGGTAGAAGCGCGGGGCGTGGTTGTGCACCTGCGTGACCCATATCAAAGTACCAAGGCCCCAGGCAGCATCGTTGTTATTGAGCCGCATGCTCAGGTTGCCCACATTCATGGAGGCAGGGTTGCCCTGGTTGGTGCCCACTGCAAAATCTGCCCAGGGGTTGTCCCCTTTGGTGCGCACAGGTTGGATGCAGCAACAACAGGCCAGCCAGGAGGGGCACACCAGGCTCAGGGGATGATCAGGGTTGGTGATGTACGAAGGAGTGGTGCAACAGCAGCAATGGCCACTGGCAGAGCTGCTGTCCACCTGGTCCTGCATGTAGGCCCCGGTCCACCATGGAAGGCCTTCTCCGCCGTTGGTGGTTGTGAAGGCATCATTGCGCACCTCCAAAAAGACGTAGACCCCCTGTTCCGCGAAGGCCTTGATGGTTGATTCCAAGTTCGCCGCCCAGGTGGGGTCGATGGGCCCGGCCCTGTCCGGCATGGATCCTTCCCACATACATCCCAAGCGCACGCAGGGCTTTACCACCCGCGCAGTGCCATCCTTTGCGGGGGGCGGCTTGTAGAGCATGGCCTTCACGCCTTCCGCCATCTCTAAGGCGTTGGCCGCGACGATCTCCTTGGGGGGGAAGTAGGGCTGGGCCTTGATCACGTAGTTCCCACCCAGCAGTACCACTTCCTGGCCATCCAGCTTGAAGACACGTTCGCCCGAACCCATGGCCACGGTGATCCGCTTGGGATCATCCGTGCCTTGTAGCAGCGGTGCACTGGCCATGGCGCAGCGGATTCAAACGCAAGCGGGCCCCCAATTCGCGCGAGGCCTTTGCCTCTCCCTGATAGGGCTTGATCCCTTGGCAAAGTCAAACAAATACTGGGAAATGGCCCTACATCCCTGCAAAATCCAAAAAGTCAGGAATATAGACTATAGAAGTTATGGCTGGGAAGAGACCAGCATCTAGATTTCGGAACAGGGGTAGCTTCCCCGTTCTTTCTAGGCATCCTTCTTTGCAAACCGAACAAGCCAAAGATGAATGTTCAAAAAACAATGGCTGAACAGAATGGCAAGGCCCCAGAACTTGAGGCTTCCCTCAAAACCGGACCAGCCTAGTTCTAGGAGTCTCCGTCTGGGAAACCAGTGGGCTTCCATCCCCCAGAACCCGAGAACCCGACAGTTCAAACCAGTCTCCGTTCATCAACGGAAGCTCCCTTTTGCACATGTCTCAAAGGGCCACCAAAGAAATCATTTGAAGCTCTCCCCTTTTTTCTTTTTTCCCCCTTCAAGCCAAGCTCAAACCCTTAGGCCGCCAAAACGACCCATCCATTCCCCCCGAAACTTCCCTCCGCGCCCTGGCCGCGGGCGTCGGAGTCCCAGAGGCGAAGTCCACCGGCCAGCGGCCCGGCCAGCGGAGGTGCTGGGAGGTGCACAGGCCTTGGCACCAATCTGTGCTTGATTTTTTAACTGAGGGGGTTGGAAAAATGGACTTTCCTTTTTCAATGCCTGGAAGAATGAGAACCAAAACAACATCCACAAGCTTGTGGCTTCTTTTGGGAAACTCCTCAGGCCACCACCCTGCCCCCCCAAAAGGACATCGATTAACACCCACGCCTGAACAAGTTGCTTCGTTTGGATTCGGCGGTGGATCCAGGACGGCTGACCTCCCTGGTCACAGGCTTGCAATAGGCAAAGAAAACCCTGGCAGGGGCAGACCAAGGGAAGCGAAACCATAAATTTCGACCCAGCTCGGAGCAAGTCGGGGTGTTGGTCAACCCAACCTCAACAGGAAAAAGAGCCTCTCCCCCGATTCTCTTGGCTGGAACAGACCACGTGCAGATCGCAAGAAACACGTTTGCCTTGAAAACTGGACTTCCGGTACCCTTGTTGGGGTTGGAACCGAATTTAGTCACCCTGTGGATATCAAGACCCATTTTGTTACCTATGTTTAAAACAACATGTGATGCTTAAAAATCCGAACTTCCAGGTAAAATATGGGCAGTGGAACCTTTTGTCCGTACTTGGGTGAGTCTGCTTTGGGAGATGCTACGTTTCTTGAGCGCTGGTTTAGAGGGAAGTCAAAGGGAAACGATCCAGCTTCGGGTTCCATTTGAGACGTACCCTGAAGGCACAGAATCTGGCCGCCCAAAGGATCAACGGATGGCATTTGGAATCCCATGTTTTGATAGGCCAGCATAAAGGGGCCAGCCACCGCAACCGCGACGCGCGGCTCCAAGTATGAAAATTACTCAGAGGCCCGGTGAATTTTAAGGAAAAAGGCAAATCAAGTCTTGGTTGACGTTGGAAGGGGAGCAAAAAAAACATGTTAGCAGTTAAGTGGAGATTTCTCACTCAACCACGATAAGCAAAAATGAAACATGTTTCCCAACGACAACCATGAAGTATGCTTGGTTTTGGTTGGGTGGATTTCAACGGAAAACTGGGAACCCAAACCAAAATAATGGATACTACTGGGCTACTGGGCAATTCGGACAAGGCAACAGGGTGCTTACATGTTTGGGAAGCAAACTCCCACTCAGTTTGTGAAATGCTCAGAAAAAAGTAACAAGGTTGCTCCCAAACCCCGATGTTGAACGGGTAGTGCTTGGTGTCTGGGCTTCAGTTGTCCTTGCCCTTGACACCTGCGCCAATTGTGTGACATGTTCAGTTCGGCTCAAACTAGTGCACCTCAGAATTTGGTGGGGGCTCATTCATGTCCAGCAAGCAGTGTTGGTTGTTGGTTCCCCACCACCGACCACTTTTGGTTGTTGGTTCCGGCGCTTGAACCTCCCCATGCTTCGCCGAGCATCTGCATCAGTCATCCACGCGGGATGTTGAACGCGAGCTGAGGGCTTCGGAGTTGGGAGCTGGCGAGCGAGGAGCTTGAGCCGAGCGGCTTGCTGCGCGAGCAGCTCGCCCCGTCTGGGAAAGTTGATCAGCTTTCTCAACGCACCGCTTTCTGAAGCGGGCTTCACACAGCGTCACAAGCAAGTGGCAACACTGCTGCACAAGCAGATTCAGCCATGGACCTTAGATGGACCTTAGGTGCGAGCACCTTAGAGTACATCCATTTCAGTCCCTCCAATTGTTGGAGAAACTAGCGTTGGTGTTGGGCCGGCCTTGAACGAGTCTTGCCAGCGGTCGGATTACTCTCCTAAAAAAATCGAGGAGTCTCCTCTTGGAGGGCCCTTTCGGGGCTCCATTCTTGCGCAAGGATTGATCTTGAACAACCCACGTCCCTGCCTCCAGGCTGGGTATAGGCTACAGCGATGCCAATCAACACCTGCAACGGGTCGCCGCCTCCATGAAAATCCCCCCATCTCACGCCGTGAGGAGCGGCATGGGTCCCAAGTCCATGTCCAATTCCCACAAAAGGGAAATGACATCAAAACGAGATTCGGTCAACATATGAATCTTACACGCAATGACCATGGACAAAGCGGGCTCTGTCCCCCTGTTTTTGTGGTTGCACAAGTCCCCCCCCCGGTCCCATCCCCGCAAATCGTCAGCAGAGCCGCCATGTTGCCAAGTCAATGCCAAATCAGCACGAAAGTCATCACGAAAGACCCACTGAACGGAAGACGGCAATATCCAAAGATCGAAAGGGTTTCTGCAGACAACAACTTGTCTGGAGAAGGGAAAGTCTGAGCACCTCAGTCAGGCAGTCAGTCAGCAGCCAGGCCTGCCAACCAAACAAACAAACCAACCAACCAACCAACCAACCAACCAACCAAGAACCCCATCCACTACAGGAATTCTCAGGGCCCCCAAAACATGGGGGCCGTTTCATATACCTATCATATGGGAATGATGTTTAATAGCAGACCCTTTCGTGCACATCAATTAGCTTGGGGTTTATGTTTACCAACCACTTTGGTGGTTCCTTACTAGAATCCATAGCCATACGTACAGAAACCTCTTGTGGTAAGCCAGGGAAACTGTTCCTGACCCGCGGAGCCTAAATCATATCTCACACGGTCGAAGTATGCGGATACTCAACGGACATGGGTGCCCTCACGTCCCTCCCACATCGACAGAATGGATATGTTGACACCTCCTATCCCCCATCCCCCTGCGCACCACAAAGACTCCGAGGACTGTCAAGATCGAGGTGGCGCAAAGCACATTCTTCTGCCAAATGAACTCCTCAGAAGCATCTGTCACTCCCGAACCCTTCTTTGCAGATTGATCAGCCCCTGGTGGATTTTGAGAGATGGGGGATGCACCCTTCTTTGCAGAAGAATGGGAACCCCAGACTAACAAGCCCCTGGCGGATTTTGAGAGCGGGATGTCCCATCTTAGAGGGACATCTTTGACTTAGTTCTGGAGAATCCAGGGTCAACATGAGATGCGCCCCTGTTGAAGATGGCATCGAGCAGAGGGGCTCTCAACCCTGCACTTGCCATGCTCAGACAACTATCGCAGGAAATCAGCGGGTCTCGTTTTGTTGCTGTTGGCTGGCTCCCTTGGTCCACTATGCAGGTTAGGGGGTTGGGGGAATCGCAGAGATACAACAAGCAAATTTTGGTTGGCAAACACCATCTCTTGGTTGACGTTGGAAGGGGAGCAACAAAAAACAAACAGTTCAGTGGATTTGGATTTCAACCACTAAACCACAATAAGCAAAAATGATTCAAATGTTTCCCAACAACAACCATCTAGGCAAATTGCGAAAATCATACACACTTGAGCCCCGGGGTGGGCCTCTTTGTACTGTAACCCTCTACAGGACAATGATGGGAGAGGCTCCGTTGGGGCACCCTTCTCTCTGTCCGTTGCGGCCTCAAAAATACGGAATCCTTATAGAAACAGGGTCTCGGGCTCGGATGCAAGGCGTCTCATCAAGACATCAGCGTTTGCCAAGAGAAAAAACACCTGGCTGGTTGGCCACTTTCCTCTCCAGAGTGAGGCTCATTGTCCACAAAACCAGCCAAATGAAGTACAGCAGCTCGAAAGGTGAGAGAATGAGGCGCAACTCCGCTGCGAATTGATATGAATCACAAACAGTTGGTCCCCAAAGAAGACTCCGATGCCCTTCTAGATGCAAGACAAGCCACGAAATTCCCCTCTGTTTTTCGGGTTCAACGAGAGGAAACACACAATACCCTCTGCTTTTTGGGTACACCTTCAAAAAACATGTCAACTATAATACCTCTGAAATGACCCTCTGTTCTTGGGTTCATTTTCAAGAAAACATGTCCTTCTTTCCTCCTTTGCACAGCGGCGTAAGAGGCAGCGCCTGCTCGGCGCCGGATAAGCGAAGTCCTACTCAGGCCCCGGCCCCCATCCATTGCGGGAGCCCCAGCGAGCCCGGGCGCAGAAACAAACTCAACCCGGAAAAACTTCCCGAAGCTTTTAGGGCTGCGGTTGAAATGGAATCCACTTCTGTGATACAACGAAAAGGGCTGTCAATTTTTACTCAGGCTGACTCAGCTTGAGAATTATGGTGGAATTGCCTGGCATTTAGGACAGGGCTGTGGTTGAAATGGTTGGAATCCACTTCTGTGATACGTTACAAAAAGGGCTTCCCAAAGACAAACCTGCCATCCCACAACCCTGATTTAGGACCTTGACTAAAACATGGACCAAGCATGGAAATCCACGGCGGGTTCAACAGTCGCAGCATGTATCTTCTCATTGTTACGGATTGACTCCCAAAGGGGAAACCAACAATGAATGTGTACTATTGACACGATCTTTGAAATAAGCTTCAAAAGTCAAAAACTGGCAACCAAAGCGAGTGCCACATCTTGAGTGTCTCAACCTTCTACTTTTTACATCCTGATTTTGCAAGCATGATAGTCATGCGAGAGGAGCTGCACGAGGAATAACATACGCAGAGATTGACACTTGTGTATGTTGGAATCTGTCACGTATTCGAGCCGGATTGGGTTGGCAATCCTGAGGGCCCACTTGCGCGCAGCAAATTCGGACCAGGACCTTTGGGAGACCAAGCATTGACAAACAGCCACCAACACCGGTCGACACTGCCAGTGTGAGTATGTCTGCTGTGGTGTTGTTAGACACCATATGCTGGTGGCATTGCCGTACCTACAAAAGGGTGAATGATCATCCAGACCAACAAGTGCAATGAGCCATGGTCAATGTTCATTGTGTCCCCAAACTGACATGGGAATTTTGTGAGTGCTCCCCATGACGTTCCCTTTGCTACAAACGCTGACAGCCAACATGTCGACCGTATATCCCTGCTTCTCTTCCTGTTGCGGAAGCTTATGGCTGCTATTGATCAAACACAGACATTCGCCTGTGTACCTCTCGGGATGCTTCTGGTACAGGGGTTCTCCTCTCAGGGGGAGAACCGGTGCTTCAAAAAGGATAAGCCACATGCCACAATGACCAAAGCAAAAGGAAATATGGGGCTGTCCTAAAAAGGGGGAACACCCCTAAATGGGTTGTTTCCTTTTGCATTCCCTGGAACACCATCCAACAACGGCACCCTAGACAGAACCAATATGCACAACACGTTCCCCCAAATAACTTCGCACTTCGGCTGACTGGAATTTGCCTGGCGAGATGTGCCCGGGCGCTCGGGCTCCAAAAAGATGCCGCACCCCGCTGTCCGCAAGGGCCCCTCTCTGTGGCTATTTCCCTCACCCACGTTGTTTTGAATATGATGTTGGACGAGCTTACCTCACTTGGTTGTGAATTTTAAGGGGGGACCCGCGAATGGACATCATTGAATCATGGGGACTTGTGTCCACAAATCACTCACTTTGAGATGGTTCCCTATCAAAACTCATGGCCGCTTGTCCAGAAGGAAATTGTGAACTAAAAGCAAATCTTATTAAACCTGAACTAACCTTGCAGAAAACTCGTCAGAGCTCCAGTGGCCGGCCGGGGGGTTGGCTTGAAGAGAAGCCCCAACACGAAAATCCCCACAAGAGACAGTGTCAAAACTTGGTATTAAATGGTGTACCCCAACCAATGAACAGAATTCAAAAGGCGGCTGCACCCATTTATGGTTGGGAGTATCCCGTATTAACCTTCATCTACCCGGGTTTTGATTGTGGTCCAGTCTTTGGCCCCAGCGCAAGGCGAGAAGGGTACCATTGCCAGTGTCATGGACATCCACAGGGGGCGATGGAGAGGGGGGCGGGGGTGCCTATCACCTATTGAAGCTCATAGGCTTATCCTTGGCTTATCCAACATCCATCCAAAGATAGCCCCCTCCTCGCATAGCCCCCCCTCGCAGGTCCATGACAATCACCCCTCCAACAAGGACCCTCCAGAGCCAGCGCCAGCGTCTCGCCTTTTTTGTCGCCCCAGCCGACGGCCAGGGCTTCCTCAATCAACCGCCTGGCGCCGTTTGAGTGTTTCGTGAGCCGGTTCATGGCCGTTGCGATCAAAGAAGACATCCCTTACTCGAAATACAAGCTGTTCTTAGGGTATAATGTTCAACCCGGAATACACAAAACCATGGACAATGTGTTTGTTTTCATCATATTCCTCTTTCACATCGGGTCTTTGAAGTTGGGGCCAGTGGGAAAATAACGCCGCCACCTGGTAAGTGGGTCTCTCTTTTGAGGATGCTCGTTGAGGGATAGTTTAAAAGGGGGTCGGTCAACATAGGCACTTGACCAGCGGATTTGAATCAAATAAAGGACAGGATCCATCTGCAAGTTGGCTCCATCCGCTTGAGCAAGTTTGTTCCTTCAGATTGACACGCAAAACAAGACCCAAGCAAACTAAAGCGGCAGAACCAACGTGTTTAACCCCAGATTCACAGTCCAAGAATCTGAGCAACAGTGCTCAAGATCTTTCATGCAGGTTTCAGCAACTGTTCAAGCACCCTTAAAGCTGCTTGAGTACCTCTGGAGGCTTTTGATCGGCTGTCCCATCCTTCGAGATGTAGGCCGCCACTTTTGGGGACACAGGCTCTGAGAACAGCGATTGCATAGGAGGACAACTGTGAGGGATTCTCCTGACCCTTGAGTATTCCGTATGAATGCGTATAGAACCCTGGAAAGACTACAATGAAAAGCACGTAAACCGCACAAGCAACAATGCCAATTACCAAGAAGCTTTTTTTGGGACTAGGTTTCCCTTTTGGCCGGGGACAGTTGAACCTTAGGGTTCAAAGGATACCAACATTCTGCAGATCAGTTCAATTCTGCTCTGAGCAAACATGGTCAACTCCACAGCCAAATGTGAAATTCAACCTGGCCTTTCGATGTCCTTGCAAATCAACTTCTCTGGGTCTTAAAACAGTTGGATTTCTTTCAGTTTCTCACTTCCTGACTGGATGGTCCAAAAAAATCCCAACTTGCTACTCGCCACTAACATGGTCTCCCAAACCAGTCTACAGAGTCCATGAACTCAGGCAGCGAGTAATTACCCCCTTAAGGGGCCATCCCAAAAAAATAAGTCAACTCTTCTGAGCCCTCCCGGTGCTGTCCCCATACGACGGCGCCCGCCGCCCGCGCGCGCGCCTCACCGAGTGGTCCGCCTGCAGCTGGCCCCAGCCGGCGGCATCCGAGTGCACCGCTAGCAGCCGGGCCACCAGGGCGTCCCTCGAAACGAACCGGACGACCAGAGGTCGTGGGTTTGTGGGTCGCCGAGAAATGAAGAGCCCTGTGGAGGTGGAATCCGAATCTGTGGATTTGATCGCTGTAGACTATATATATATATATGTATTGAAAAACGAGTACTAAAAGGACTACTAAGGAGCGAATGTACATTGAACAACGTGCACCGGTGACAAATTTCCAAGTTGCTCTTGCCAGCACGAGGCGTGCTCGCACCCCCCAGTCGTTCCGGCTGGGACGCAATTCTCCGGCCCCTTCAAAGTTTTCAACTTGTCCCAGCATAGTACATCTGCACCTTGATCGTGTTCCTATGGTTTGTCTGGGTCTCTTAAAGTGGTGCAATCTTGAGAGGCCTCAAAATGCTTTCTTGCAGGGTGGTTTTCCTTTACACCACCATTCATAACTAGTTGTGAGGATGTGACTTGGATGGACCCAGCAAAAGGGTAGACAGAAGGGTGGAAAGTGTGTCACCGGAAAAGGAAAGCACAGGGACCCAAAGGGTAGGCTTGGAGCACTCTGGTCCACAAACTTGGCTTCGGAAAAGCCCAGAGGGGGCCAAGCTACAAGTCCAACATGTTACAAGGGCAAACAGAAAACGGGTCTACAGGGCTGAAGGGCGAACAAGAATGAAGGGTCCAACTATACAATCAGTTCAAGCATGTGAACAAGAGCAAACAAAGCGTGGGCAAACGATGTTCAACCATAAACAAGGCCTGCGAAGAGTTGGGGGGGGGGTCGTCTCCAACGATACTAACTTCTTCAACACTGGCTGTCCGTTTTCAGATCCCCTGCTAAAAGTGACTAAGCTGTTGCGGGTGAAGTGGACACCTTTTGCAGTAAACCAACTAAACCTCTCAAAGCCTGAGCACCCGGACGCCTGGGATTCGGGGATCGATTCAGGTGAGCGAGGTGAAACAGCAGCCGAACCTAGGGTGCAACAAAAGGATGGATCATGTCAACGACAGTCCCAGTGTCCCAGGCACTGCCTGGACAAACAAAATACACCAAAACCATTGGGGGATGCTGGTCCCGATGAATGATGACCAGGTTTAGTGTTTCTAGGGTTGCAAAGGCCCCCCCCCCCCCCCCGCAACAGTGGAATCTCTCAGCAAGGGGCCCGCAATGGCTTCTTGCCGGGGGGAGGCGTTTTGCGCTCGGGGCCCTTGAAACACCTGACAACGATCAATGAGGTCACGTGTCGGAGGAAACACTCCTGGAAATCTGCAAGATTAGCCCACAAGGACCCCTTTACTCCAAATATCCGCTTCACTTTGGGTATGATGTCACCCCCTGACAAAACAAGGAGGTATGCAACCTAGGTCCTCCAGTAGAGAGGTTAGAATAAGGGCTCCCTCTTTCCTGTAGTCTATGTTAGTGGGGGAACCCTCCCCCAAAAAAGGGTAAAAGGGCACTACTGGGGACCTAGCAACTATCATGGAAATCATGCGTTCAACTACATACCCCCAAAAAGCAGGGTATTTGGAGTGGGCGTGGGGGCTTATGAATCCGCAATCCACACCGGGCACTTCCCGTGCCTCAGGGCAAGGCGGAAGATCGCGTCCTTGATCCCCCCGACGTGGCGGACGAAGCGGCCTCGGGGCTTCGCTCGGAGGGAGGCTCAAACTTGCGGCTGCGATACCCAGACATCCCGGAGGTGGTGCGGGGTCTCAAAACCTGGCTGTTTGAGGGCCCTAAATGCATCGGGAGCCTCTGGGTAACGGAATGAGAATTGGAATGACCAAGAAAAGCCATCCATCAAATTTGAGGTGTCCTTGGGAATCCCCAAATGGGTTCGTTCCCACCCTTGGCCAAGCTCGAGTTGGATTCCAAATTCCTCACAAAGTATCAAGCGACCCTGAGGATTTGTGGCAGCTGCGCGGGAAAACACGAACCTCAGGTCGCTGGCATTTGCCCAGAGTACTTCCGTGGGCTGTTCGGAGGCGTGGAGGTTCTACTTGTTTAAGAGGTATATGCTTGTGTTTTCTTGTTGGTGTCCCGTAAACAACAACCAACAAATATAGCCATCATATGCTGCTCAATGCGAATAGGGTGATTCATAAATATAATATATTATATAATTATATGTAATACATTGTATTACATATCCCTCTACGCCTCCCAACAACCCCTGGACATGTTCTTGAATCGCCGTAGCAAGTGATGAATGCCGGTTGACTGGCAAGGACCAAAAACTCACGTGATACGGGAGCAATAGTGCCAACACATCAGCTCGCATGTCACAAGTAAAAACCTACACGCTTCCTACAGGCGGTCCTGGCGCAGGCCCGTCCGAGGGGTTGCCTTCCTAACAAACATTGGGGAACCTGCTTGCAAGGGCGAGAACGACCCCAAACTTGCTGTATTTAGTTGCTGCTGAGTGGAATCGCCAGAAGTGTTTTTCAAACTTTTGTATGCCATTAAAATGGCTTTCCCAAAAAGTTTAAAGTTCATGAACTCAGGCAACAAGTGGATATGTTCCTTTACAGCAAGACCAAAAGCTACATGGACAGGCCTAGACTCATGCAAAAAGTCCACTTCTTGTCGGTTGAAAGTGATCATGAGTCAAACCCGAAGGCTCCAGAGGTTCTTCAAGTCAGCAACCAGCAGGTGAAGTCTAAGGACCCCCAAGCCAACCGAAGCCCAAACCCAAGTAAAAAAAAACAAAAACAAACGACCCCATATGAAGCAACCCCAGTTGTATTAATATAGGGGGTGTCCCTAGGTGTAGTGGGGAATCATCACTATTGACATCCGCCCCGTATGAATAAACTGGGGTTGACTAAAACGGGATCAACATTACGCAGATCCCAAACCAAGAGGTGGCGCGCGTCGCTGTGAACCCGCCTGCGAAGCCCTCAGCCAGCGACAAGGGCGGAACCTGCGAAGATTGTGAAAAACGGGTGTGTGTGTGTGTGTCATGTTTGAATGGTACTAGATGGCACCCTTCCTATTTGAGATTGATTTCAGGACAACCACTGTTGTTTCGTGGGCCCTTTTTCTTCGACGCATATGATTCAGAGCGGTCTCTCCAAAGCAGGCTCCGGAGTGGCTCCGAGCGGTCCAGGCTAGGGGTCGACCCAGCAAAGGTTGGTCATCGATCTCCTCTTGTGACCTCTTTTTGGCTACGACCATCAGCTTGCAAACGGCACGGCTTTTCCGATCACAACGCCCAAGAGAAGTTACTTCGCTTCGGGCAATCCCCACCCTCCACACTCACGAGCTTACGACAGTGAACACGGTAGTGTAAATTCAAGCATGGTTTTCGAGTGGCTTGGGGCCTATGACTGCTCAACAAGCTTTGCATTGAGAGCCTTATCCACCTGTCTGTGTCAAACTCCACTTGTCTGCGAGCCGATCTCGAGAACTCAAACATCGGTTCCGTCAACAACAGCCAAGCCCCTTCCAACAAGAAACCCGACGGGGGATTAAGCGAAGTTGCTTATTCACAACCCAAAGCATCACCCTTTCCGAGCCTCAGGGTACACTCAAAACACGAAGGCACCAACATGAAATGTAAACCCAACTGTGCGCCGGGAGGGACATTAAGCAAAACCAGACTGACGAGCTGCTGTGGCGGGATACTGGTGAGATCCACTGGCAAACACTGGCGAGCCGCTCCGGCTCGATACCGGCCGGATACTCTCGGCAGGATCCACCGGCAAGGGATTCTCAGCGGGATACTCGGCGGGATCCACTGGCGGGCTGCTCTGGTGGGATTCTCGGCGAAGTCCACTGGCGAGCTTGGCGGGATACTCGGCGGGATCCACTGGCAAGCTACTCGGCGGGATCCACTGGCGGGCGGTTCTGGTGGGATACTGGCGGGATCCACTGGTGAGCTACTCTGGCGGGATACTTGGCGGGATCCACTGGCGAGCTACTCTGGGATACTCAACGGGATACTGGGCGGGATCCACTGGCGGGCTGCTCTGGTGGGATACTCGGCGGGATCCACTGGCGAGCCGCCCTATACTCGGCGGGATCCACTGGCGAGCCGCTCTGGCGGGGCTCTGGCGGAATACTCGGCGGGATCCACTGGCGAGCCGCTCTGGCGGGATACTCGGCGGGATCCACTGGCGAGCCGCTCTGGCGGGATACTCGGCGGGATCCACTGGCGGATCCACTGGCGAGCTGCTCTGGCGGGATACTGGGTGGGGCGGGGTGTAGAAGCATCGCAAACGCGGATTCCAACATAAAATCTAACAACCCCTTCCTGTCAGGTGGGGAACAACTCCAATGCCGTTGAGAGGCACACCAGAAACAAAAACGAAAAACATCACACAAACCCAACAGATCAGCAAGACAATACCGAAGAGCGACCAAGTCACACCGCCAAGCTGTCACCATGTTGCTAAAATAAGCTCCAAGATGCTAAAATAAGCTCCAAGAGGCAGGCATAGTATTAATACTGCAACACCACAAAATACAATTATGATGACTTATGATGGTCTGCCGGGGCAAAGGGGCCAAAGGAAGCAAATGCTAAGTAGTGGATTTGAACGTAATTATGCAAGGCACTGCTTTTGTAGCGGTTCTGTATAGTATTGCCGTGCATGTTCTAAAATGAGCGACTCTATAAACCTCCCATGAATCCCTATGTCGTATCAAGTTGCTTACGCGCGAGCTTGCGCTTTTCTTACGCGACCCATGTTTTTGCTTACGCGGCAGACAGCGAGCATGTTGAGCTTGCGCGTCGCTTACGCGTGGGCGTTTGGAGCGTTTCCGCTCAAGAATTGCTTACGCGGGCTCCTTTTCTCATGCAGCCGCCAGAACTGTTCAAGATGATGTATCCTGAGGAAGAAGATGACGAAGAACTACCCTCATCGAGTTTCAGCGGCTTGGCGTTATGTTCTTACTGCAAGTCAAGAAACGGGTTATGCGGCAGCGACATCCACCTCGAGGGCAAACGGGCAACCGAGCTAAGCGAGCTTACGCGAACCTTACGCGCCTGCTTACGCAAGCTTACGCGCCCGAGCCCCTTTAGTTTTCCTAAATCAGCGGTTTCAGAAGCCTTTGTTGTCCTAGGTTGCAACAGCACCTAGAATGAGCCATGAGAGCTCCCACTCGAAGTTCTGCTGGTTTTGTTTTCGATTGGTGCGCCCCTGGGGTCTTAGACGTCTTCCTGCAGCCAAAGTGTCCGGGCAAGTCGCCAAGCTCGACTAGGTTGCAACAGCACCAGCCACCAATAAACACATAAGCACATGTGTGAAACAACTCTTCCGAGCATGCTTACAAAGCTTACCAAGCAGTCACGAAGAAGACCTTACGCAGGTGCTTACGCAGCATGTTGCCCCAAAAAGTGCTTACGCCGGCTTACGCCGTGCAGGGTTTTGCTTACGCGGGGCCTTGTTATGACACAACTCTTGCTTGGGATGTAACGGGGGGTTTTTAGAGCTGCTCAAATGGTCGAAGGGCTGTACATGCTTTTGCTTTACTGGAGACCAACAAATGAAAGACTAATTCAACTAACTGGCTCGCTGAACAGGGAAGCGATCAACTAAAATCCCAAGTCCAACGGTTGCGTCTAGAATCCATCCAGCCTCTCAGTAATATGTTCTTGTATTCATAATGAGATTGTTCTACATGTGTTTCCTGTGGGTCGGTTCAGTTGAAACCTGACTCCAGGGTTCCCTGCACCACCCCCGCCGAAACAAACGTGATCTTGAGGTAGCTTCACCAGACTTCAGACGCAGAAAGTCACCTCCAGTCCACTACAGTAATATGGAACCAAACTGAGGGGTCCTGGAGTTGTTGTTTTAAAGGGAACCCTCTGCTGGGTTCCATGCTACTGGACAAGTCTATGTTTCCTACACTGCAAATAAAGAGAAAGTCAAAGGGACAGCGGCAATGCGACGTCACCTCTTGTATTTTGTGTTGTCAGGGGGGGGGCGGGTGCGGGAGTTGTGAAACTGGCCCTTACCAGGCCATCGCCACGGCATACTTCTCCTCTCAACTATAGAAAGTGATTGAGCCAACCTTCAAAAAAGTGATGCGCTGCAAACGCCATGGAACGCCTTCGCCACCAGCTTTGGATGGCGTGGGAAGAGGTCATTCATCACCTCGCACCGCAGCAAAAAGTGCTTACCGATGGGGCCCCCGAAGGGACACCAAGGACCTGATATGGGTGTCAATATGAATCGAGCCACCCAGATGTTTCTTAAAAGACCCACATCAAACCTGGACGCAGAACCAGGGTGCTCTTGGACTTGTGAGGAGTCGGTTTACTCCCAGTCAAAATCCACTGAAAGGCTGTGATGTCGGAGCCTTCCATGTCCTATGGTTGTCATGAGCCCCACAAAGAGGAGACTTTTTCTATCCCGGAAAAAATGTGTGGTGAAACACTGAAGATGAGAAACAAATCATGCCAATAATATCCAAGAATGCTAAAGTAGCGCTAAAGCAACACACCAATATACACATGTGATGACAAATCAGGGAAACCACAAAAACAAGGACTTTCACCACTAAATGGAAAAGTTACCTATTGGCATTTTGGGGACAGTAAGATTGATCAACCCCCATACCATTCATCAGGTTGAGGGGGGGAGGAACTTTTTTGTTTTGAAACACCCCACCAAAAGGAGCCATACATCGGATTCGCGGGACTTCAACACCTCGACCCAAAACAACGCCCTGTTTGGCAATCCAGTAACGATCTGACGAAACAAAGGCTGTCTTGAAAGAAGAATTGGGAGCCCAGCCGCCCAACTACCTTTCATCTCTACAACGAATCCAAGGTGATCCGATCGGGTTCTTTTCAAGTTCTTACATATACTTCGATCAGTACGTTTATGCACGCTTTTCATATCCTCCACACAGGAACAAACATCAAACCTGAAAGAGAGCCCCTGACAGATCGCTTGCTCTCGACAAGGACCCCTCGCCCTCAGTTTCGTGCTTGTTTTGGGAGTGTGCCAGTCACCACAACTGTGGTGAAAAGCAGAAAATGACTTGTTTGATTTGTTCCCCCATGGATAGGAGCAAGACAACATACCTGTATGTTCCGACGAGCGCTATTTTCTGCTGAAGCGTCTGGTTGATACGCTTCTTTCGCTTGCGATCGTTTTTTGGGCAAACGAGAGCTATTTAGTCTTTGAGCATTAAATCAGCCAACTGGAAGGCTGCGGCAAAGGAATTCGGCTCCTGTGGCTGTGGAGCACAATGTGGGCAATCTGGTCAATGTTTTGAACGGAAAAGCAGCTTTCCTGGATGAAATGGGCAAAACCGCACAACGAGCGCACACTTGGCACGCACGCACCCAAACACCCACCCACCCGCCGACACACCCACACACACATACACGTGCACACGCAAGCGTGCACGCAGGAGCATGCACACGCACACGTGCCGCCCGCAGCACCGCACGTTAGTCTGAGGCGCGACTACGCTGGAAGAGAAGATACTTGGTTCTTCCCCAGTGAGCAAACTTGAACTAGTTGCAGATAACTAAGTGGAAACATCATCTCCAGTAGGTCCTCCAGTAGAGAGGTTAGACTACCCTTTGTCTGTAGTCCATTTTAGTAGGGGAACCCTCCCCGCCAAAAAGGGTAAAAGGGCACTACTCGGGGACCTAGTCCGATAGCATGCAAGCCTGAAGCCGCCTGGCTGCGGTTTTTCTTCTCCAAGCCCCAGGCCGTCTGCTCGAGAAAGAGCTCGCGGCGCCAGCGAGCTGCGGCGGCGCGGGCATCGGGCCACTGCCACCAGCGCTCCATGAGGCGCCGGGCCGAAGGCGAGTTGCGCACCACCTGTCGTCGCCCGATTGGATTCTACTGACAGGAGTATGGGTCAAAATTGAACCACCAGGAAATGGACCACAGGTCTTAGTCCATGTTTCCATTTGCCAGGGTTCCATTGTGGGTACTTATTTTTGACCCACAGCCACATGCGCCCGAGGTTCTACTGACATGTGCTGAAAGCCTACGAGGGGAAGACAAACCTACAGCAACCTAGAGGCCCTTGTGCGCACAAGTGGGGCTGCGGTTGGTCAAATCCACATGACATGCCAAACATTGGGCTACTTTGTCAGATGGCTTTTCAAACAGAACCCCCTACTAAAAGGTACCGAGCACACGAACGACCGTGAGCTTTCTTGCAAGGGTGGGTGGGTTGAAATGGCCACTTGGGGTGTTGGAAACTGGCTTGGCGGGATCCGGGGTTTGGGCGGGGATTGGACCCCTACATCCCTTGGGCATTCCTGGATCACAGACGGCTCGTTCTATTCTCCACCGAGAACCAGGAAATTTGAAATTTTGCACTGCCTACAGGGACAAACTCCTGAGACAAATCAATCCAGGCACAACATGCGATAATCCAGAGTCACATAGCCACACAGGCCTGTTGTACTGAGCGCTTTGCTACAGGATCATCCTCATTGCTTCTAAGCACATCCCTGTCAGACAGCAAACCCACCAGCTCCAAAGAGCCCGTCACTTGTCTTCATCAAGCCTTCCACTCGTGACATCACACTTCGATGCGATGAGCGGACCAAAGCTCCCGAATCAATGAGATGGTCCTCCGTGAAGCTCAAGTAAACATATGGCCTTCAGGCACAGCATGATTCTAACATGGAACCCAAAGGTATGTTTGTCCGGAACACACAAGCTTCTCAACCCAGCGCAAGAACAACCTGCCGGGGCGTAGCAGCCCCTGTTTCTGACAAAGCTCGGAACAGCTGATGTCTCCCACGGCGGGGAGTTAACTTCTTGAGTGGTTTGGCTCAAACCAGTTCACTTGGCGAGGATCCATGACCTCCAAACCAGGCAGTTTCCAGGGATGGCCATGACTCAACAAAGAGCAAGAGAGGTGAGCTCAAGCCTCTAGTCTTCACCGAGAATGGGGGCAGGACATAGACAGCGCTCCCAGGTATCGTTCACAATATTATGTGAGGACCTGTTGGCTTGGTGCTCCGTCATTAGTTGAGTTACAATACTCTGATTGAAAGACAACCCCACCCGAATGGAGGATTGAAGGAGGAACGGAAGACAGGAGTAGAAGCAGAATTGAATAGGATGAACCACCCTTCGATGAAACCACACCACTCATGGGCACCTTTTGTGTTTGGAAAGCCCAAACCATGCGTCTAGAAGTAATTGCTGTAATTCAGCAAGCCTCTTTTAAAGCTCCAATCTTCCTCATGGGTAGGTTGGTGAGCTTGCCGAATTTTGTATATTTCGACCTGCAAAAGAGAGAGAGAGAGAGAGAGAGAGAAAGAGAGATAGCTTATTGTTGCAGCATGTCCTTTTGCGTCAGTGAGCTTCGGTTTCGTTGATGATGGTTTGATGCTGAAGGATCAATCTTTTCCATGGCTCCCCTCAACGTGCTGGCCAAAGAAGCACAGAAGCACATGATCCGAATTCCCTCCGACTCCAATCCGGATAAGGTAGCAAAAGGTGGAACTTTCGAGATCATAGAATTCGTGGGTTGCGATTTGGGGATGGGACTCCCTTTGGATCTTGAACCGAGAAGAGGCAGGGCTTGGTTTCTAGTCTGCACCCGGAGCGAGCTGAATGACCGCATTGCGGCATGGCTTCCTTCCAAGAATCCCGTGACCCACGTCCCATGGAGTCCGATCGAGTCCCATGGGCCATGGGCCATGGGCCATGGGGGCCTCGTTGAACACTGCGAGTGAACTTGGCTTGGAAGGGTGAATAAAGGAACACCGAAAGGGGAAGCATGAAAAGGAAAGCTGTGTCTGGAAATGAAATGATTCTCCAAAACAACATTGGGCTGTGATCCTGCGATTTCAATCAATTGCAGCCACTTGTTCCAAGAAATCACCACAAGCTGGTTAAGAAGTAGATGTCCTGGGTCTCTGATTTTGTGCGCCACAACCCCCTTCTACTTCAGGAATCCCATGTTGCCAACTTTTGGCTGATGGGACTCTTCCTTCTCACCCTCCCGCCGCGATAAAGGTGTACTGGGTACCCTGCCATGAAATGATCCGAGATGTTCATCTTCAGGGACTTCCTGAAGGAAAGAGCCAAAGAGCCGGAAATGGCCGTGTCAAAAGCCAAATCGGTTGACCTTTTCTGTGAACATCCGATTCAGTCCAACCACTAAAATAGGTTCTAACATGGGTGGTGAATTCCCCTAGCCCCAAAATGGGATCCCATTGGTTTTGACCAGCCGAAAATAGCGAAGCCTGCCTGATGGAGCCCTGCATCCGGGAGAGCCCCGGTCCCCCATTGCTAGGCCAAGTATTCGGAATGGCCACAAACAATGGGGCATCCATTTCCTGAGGGCTTGACAGTGGAAAGCTGGATCCGCTAGACTCGTCCCCTTTTCAATGTGAGGTTCCCTCGGTGAGCTGCCAACATTCATTCTCCAGTCGGGCAGCTGACAATTCTTAAGGGTTCCTCCCATTCGACCCGATCGGACGGATAGTACATTTGCCGGTGAAAAAGAACAACACAAAAAACCTGCACCCACCCAAGCCCAGGTATCCAACCCCGGAATTTCATCTTTTCGAAACCCTAGCCCCAGGGATGTGTGTTGACTTCCCCCCAACAAATGGCGGAGGAAAACTGGTCATCCCCAGAATGTGGGAAATAGGGTCGCCATGTCCTCAAGAGTAGACTGCCAAGTTCGTAAATGATCTGCGCCACGACCTTTAAAGCCTCGCAACCTTACTTGCATGCACTTCTACTAGGGCAGAGCAACTTGAACCTACAAACTAAGGCTGCGTAAGGGGTACATGGGCCTTGCAGCCCATACATTCGCGCAACCAAACTGCTTCTCAGGTTCTGTGGTCACCCTTTGGCTTTTCGAGTGACAAAACAAATCAACAAGAAAGGAAATTCAAGGATAACCACTGATGTTTGATGGAACTTTGAGACAAATCCTTTCTTTTGGCGACGCCGCTGTGTGCAAGGAATCGGGGGGCCAAGCCAAAAAATGGCTCGAGGTGCTCTTCCCCGAAGGTTGCCTCACAATATTGTGGACGAACCAAATCCATTTCGCAGCAGAGTCATAATCAAAACCCGGTATTAAAACGGTCTACCCAGAGCCATGTCAAGAATTTCAAGGCGGCCGCAGCTATTCATGGTTGGGATTGTCCCTTACTAACCTTCATCTACCCGGGTTTTGATTGTGGTCTCCCTGTCATATACAGTTTCACCTGGATTGATCCATTCGAAGAGACTGGTGTTGCGCCGATCGTTGGATCATCACGGATTGGGCTATTCCACCCCCCGTTGAAAACCCAACAGCACCAACACCTAATTGCCAAAAACAAAAAGACTCCTTTCCCTTCAGGGGCTAGAGTGCGAATGCTCTACAAAGTCGCCCAATGTCACTCCACCTTAAAGGCTCCACATGCTTTCTCGGACTCCTCCCACAAGATCTTCCCACTTTCCGGCTTCGTGCAGATGGGCTCCAGTGGGATCTTGGTGGGCAGCCCCCTGATGTTTCCCATGCCCTCCGGCTCAAAGAAGTCCCCAGACTCCGCGGCGCCCGCGCAGCACTGGAGCAGCGGCATGGTGCCATCCTCCCCGGACTGGCCGAAGCGCATCATCCAGGAGTAGTGGAATCCTCGGCTGCGAAATCTGCTGCAGAAGAAGAGACTAACTTTTAGTGGGTTTCATACGGAAAGCCCATTGATTAGTTGGCAAGGTTGAAGTCCTAACATCCCTTGGCAAAATGCATCACAGAATCCGTCGTCCTGGTTGGCGGTCACCTGCAGATTGGTGGACGCCAACCCTTGACTTTGGAGTTGGCCGCCCGCAGCCGGCGGTCCAGCTCGGTGCAGAACACGGCATTGGCCAGCTTCGTCTGGTGATACCTGGCCATGGGTGAAAATCCAAATCGTGCCCCCAGTGAACATCCGATTCAATCCAACCACTAAAATAGGTCCTAAAATGGGTGGTGCACTTACCCCAAAATCGGATCCCATTGGCTTTGACCCACAGCCTCTCCCAGCGAGCTCCCCCGAAGAACATGGAGTTGCCGTTGCCGCCCAGGTCCCCGCCGTTCTTGCCCAAGTACTTGGCGTCCAGCTCAGTGGTCGGGAACTTCCGCCCGCCTGAGCTGTGCTGCACGACCCGCGCCTCGCCGCGCTCGCTGGCGGCCTTCTGCAGAAGTGGAAACAGCTCCTTGGTGAGGAGGAAATGGGACAAGTGGTTGGTCTGCATCTGCACGTCATAGCCATCCTTGGTTGCCTGGTCAGCAAGAGCCATGACTCCAGCGTTGTTGCAGAGGACGTCCACGCCACAGCTCCCAAAGAGGCTCTTCAGCTTGGATGCGGCTGCCTGGACACTGGCGAGGTCCTGCAAGTCGCACGCCACCTGTGTGACTTTGGCATTTGGAACCTCCTCCTTCAGCGCCTTCTCCGCTGCTTCCGCCCGACCACTCTGTCGGTTCAGCATCACCACGTGCGCGCCCTTACGCGCCGCAGTGCGGGCCGCCACGTAGCCTGTACCGGATGTGCATCCGGTGATGCAGAAGACCTTGCCCTGCAGGGACGGCAGGTTGGCCTCAAAGTCTGGGAACCACTTCGTCGGGATCTCCGCCGGTGCGGAGTAGGAGCCCCCACAAGTGTTGCCCATGGCGACCAAAGGAATGTGGGAAGGAGACTTGGGCTTGAAAATCCATCGGTCATCTAATTGATTGCACTCAGCCCCGCCTAAGGGGCACCACACCCTGACCGAAGGGGAAACAAGCGCTTCATTCACAGCTTTGGAGCCGCGGGGTCCACCAGAAACTCACACTCCGGGGGCTATCCTACATACTTGCAACAAACGATGTTCAAGAAGTGCAAGAACCAAGACCCCTAGTCCATTTGAAGACAAGGGCACCCCATTGTTTGAGTCGATGTTTTTTGGGAAACCCCTAGTGGCCATTGGAAATCATGGCACCTTTCTTCCAGTCGACAATACACCCGGAAATAAGAGAGCGTGATCACCTTTTGGGGCCATGACCAAAAATGGAGCAACATGGGAACAATTACAAAAAGGTCATTTCAACTCGAATCGCTCTGGACAACTGAGCAGAGATCACCTTGTGGGACCTCGACTATGGACCAAAACAACGAAAATGTCAAAAGGTCGACTTGCTTTGAGCAAGTGAGGTTCTGCTTCCCACTATGGTCCAATCCCCAAAACAATGACTAAAGTCCGAAACGGAACTCAGGGAGTGAGGAGTAAAGTTTAGAGTACGGCGCCCCCATTTAAACACACCCCTTTTTCTAGGTAACTCAATATACATATATATATATATGTATATATTTAAATAATTTTACTATTCTTTATTCTACCTCCGTGAGCCCCTCTGAAGGGAACCCCCCCCCCCTCCCAAGGCGAGAACCCCCCAGAACACCCCTCTATGAAAATGGGGAATAACGATTTCCCCTATTCATAAACTTTAACCTCGAACCCCCCAAAAAGAACAAAAAACAACTAAATCCAAAACAGAGAAAGAACCTTAAGAGCACCCGGCCTGTCGGTCTGCGTAACCCCCACCCAAAATCCAAAACGAAAGAACCCCAAGAGAGCACCACCCAGCGGCCGGCCGGAGAGTCTGCGTCGACCGACCCGTCGACCGACCCGCGCCTGCGGCCCAAGATCTTGCTGGCCGACGCCGCGGCGAAGAAGAAGCTGGGCCTCGAGCTCGGTGGACCAGCGAGAAACCAAAACCACCGCCCCGGAAAGTCGCCAGAAAACTGTGACTTGCGTTTTCGCCCCCTCGAAAAAAATAAAGCCTTTCCAGTAGTGAGTAGATTCCCTTTGAAACCCGCAGGGAACATAAAGCATATTCTTAAGCAAATGGAAGAAAAATGGCGAGGGATCTTCAGGGTGCCACCAAAATGGGTTACCCTGGTAAATGGAACCAAGGACTAAAACCTGCGGTCCAATTCCTGGTGGTTTAATTTTGACCCATAGCCACATGGCAAAACATCCAGGTGCCCTCGAACGAAAACACTAAACCAAGAAGAGATTCCTTTCAAGAATCGAGTCTGCTTGTTGCTAAATTGTTTTGTTGTTGGGAAAACAACAAGGGTCCCCCCCTTTTCAACGAAAAAACAAGAAGATATTCCTTTCAACAGCATAGCGTTCTGTTTTTGGGGTTTCATTTTCTGAAGAGCATGCCCCCTCCGAAAACGAAACCAAGAAGAGATTCCCTTCAACGACCTAATTGGTCTGCTTGTGTTGTTCTTCTGTTTTTTGTGTTTGTGTTTTTTTTTTTGGGGGGGGGGTGTATGTGCATCAGGAGAGCAAGTTCCAGTTGAGGTCTTGCAACGTTGTTAGGTCATTACAGGCCCGAAACCAACCCCAAACCATTAGAAAACGCGGCCTACGCCGGCAAATGAACGACCGCACCCACAGCTCCCCTTTTTCGGGGCCCGACCCAAAGCTCCCACGCGACTTGGAAGGCGAACGCACCCAGCGAAAAACCGCGTCGCCTGCTGGTCCCTCCCTCTGCCCTTGTACTAAGGCGTCTGCTGGTCGCTTTGCAAAATCCCGACGCGGCGACTTGCTTTTTGGGCGGCGGGGGGAAGGAGAAGGCCCCAAGAACACACCCAGCCGATCCCAGTTACCCATGTAGGAGTCCAGCGAAGTTCCTTTTGGTTCTTGAAGGGTGGCAAGCCCTCAATTGTCCAAACCCAAACGTTGACTCAAGTCCGAAACAGAACTCAGGGAGTGAGCCAGGGGTTCCATTTGCGCTTTCCTTTCCTGGAAATGTGCAGTATTCATAGATGCACTTTAAAACCAGCAGGGAAAATAATACTAATAATATTCAAAAAAATGGAGAAGCAAACTTAAGCAACTGGAAGAGGCCCTTCAAATCCCCCAAAAACCGGTCGTTGGCGCGCGATCCGCTTCGAACCCTTCGCCTGGCTGAGCGGTTCGCCAGGCCTTGGCCCTGAATCAGCGCCTGGAGTCCGGCTGGCGAAAACGTCCCCGTCAAAATCTCCTAGGTCCTCCGCTGGAGGGGTTAGAATAAGGGTGCCAACTTTCTTGCCGTGGTAAGATAATTAAGTGGGAACATCATCTCCACTAGGTCCTCCAGTAGAGAGGTTAGAATGAGGGTGCCCGATTTTTTGTCTGCAGTCTATTTTAGTAGGGGAGCCTTCCCTCGAAAAGGGTAAAAGGGCACTACTGAAGGACCTAGTCTATGCCCTGGGGGTCAGTTTCACCGGCAAAACCATGGGGGCGAATATATCTCTAGTGCTACCTTCCCCATTCTTTCCAGGGATCCTTCTGGAAAACCTCCGGAAACCCAGAAAAACGGCCGGTTTTCCCCTTAGAAGAACCACCGTTGTTTATTTAAGGAATTTCATCATCCAAATTGAGTCCTTGCCATTGTTTTGATGGGGGGTGAACCCTAGGGTATATTTATAGAGGGCGGGTCGGCATGGGGGCTGAGTTTTTCAGATTCCTGGGGGCTGAGTTTTTCAGATTCTTGGGGGCTGAGTTTTCCATTAAAAACACTAAAAAATACCAAACATATACGATCAAGACCGGTGACCTCTTAGATTTATTGGGGTGGGTTTTTGTGTTTTTGGCTGATGACATGCAAGCACAGATTCATTTTCGATCCAATGAAGACTCAGATGCATCCAGACCTGGAAAATGAGTTAGCTTCAATCTGCACAGAAGACAGCCTGTTGAGAACTATTTTGCACAAATATCATTGTTGGACACAAATATTTAGCAAACGTGTGTCTGTAGCTTATTTTTGGATAATTGGCATGCTTACGCATGCCAAGTTTATAAACCTCAGGGTGCTAACTTTTGGAAGACGTATGTTTGGCACAAATCTTCAACACAAGTTGCATACGTATGCAATATTTTGGAAGACGTATGCTTAGCAATCTGCAAGCAGATGTATGTTTGGGACAAATATTATTGTTGTGTTGCAATTCTGAAACACGTAAGTATGGCAAGCACAGCTTGCCACGCATATGAAATCATAAGAAAGGTAAGATATCACTGATCTATGCAGCTTTCAGCTGCAAGACTCATCTCTTTTTACAGTTGGATGTTCAATATTTTTCAATATACGCACGGGCTCTGCCCATGCTCTTGAGAAACAGCTAACACAAACATATTTATCGCATAATGAGCTGGAGCTATTGGAGCACAGCTCCAATCTAGTTGCTTGAGCCCAAGAAGCACAAGATGCAAAGATGAGCACCTGCAACGATATCTGCAGATGCAAATAACATTCTCTGCATAAAGCTGTTCAGCTTTGAAATAAGAGCTTTGGAATAAGATTCTCTGCAGCTATTCGTGTTGCTGAAGAGCTCTTGCAACAGTAAAGCTGTTCAGAATAGATTCAAGTAGACACAAGCCACAAGCAATTGCTTGTGATGAGATGTTACCTGCAGAATATGAAATGCGAGATGAGATAAATTATCTCCAGTTACCTGGAGTTACCTGCAGAATATCTTGGAAGAGGCTTATGTTCTGTTGATACACATCTCATCATATTATTGATGTCTTGCATCAAGAAAGCTTGCATCAAGAAAGCATCAACAAAGTATTGTCTTCAGATGATGGGCTGTGTTTTTTTGGTTTTCTTGGTGTTTATGAGCAAAGGCACCAAAAAAAACAGACCCATGGCCCTGAACTAGCAGATGCAGATGATGGGCTGTGTTTTTTTGGTTTTCTTGGTGTTTATGAGCAAAGGCATCAAAAAACCAAAAAAAACCCGGAAAAAAAAAAAAAAAAAAAAAAAAAAAAAAAACAGACCCATGGCCCTGAACTAGAAGATGCAGATGATGGGCGGTGTTTTTTTGTTTTTTTTGGTTTTTTGGTTTTTTGCTGAAAAAAACTCAGCTCCCAGGAATCTGAAAAACTCAGCCCCCAGGAATCTGAAAAAAAACTCAGCCCCCATGACGACCCCTTCTGTATTTATATGGGTTAAAATTGGGGACCCCAGGTGGTGGGTGTCCTTGGTTTCCCATCAAATACCAACCAAAAGGGAGTCCACCATTTTGAGACACCCCCATATACTTCCAGTGAATAGCTTCCCCTACCTCGCCGTTAATGGATTGACGGGGGCAGCCTGGTGAATTAGCAGAGAAGCGACGCCGGAAAGTTCAACTGCAAGAAGGAAAGCGGAAGAAAACCAACAGGAAAAACCCAAAGACATCAAAAAGGGAACCAACAAAAAAGAGCCTTTGAAGCGAGGCAATGTTAGAAAGCCACAAGGGTTTCTAAGATTAGTATACCCAATCCTGGGAAGCCCATAAAAAGGAAATCAGGAAAACGCAAAGGATATGACAGCGCAAAAGAACCTCAGAAGGAAATCAACAGGCTTGGTGGACATGGGTCCCTGCGGAATTCTGATGTCAAGTCTGGTTCCCGAATTAGGCTCATGCCCAATTCAAATGGTGGACGCTCACATGGGTATGAACTGTAATGGGGAAGCCTTAACAAAAACACAAACAAGAACAGGTCCTCACTTCCAGAGTGGATTGGCCAAAAAAGGCTCCCAAACCTTGTATTTAGCCCTAAAATGGTCCAAACCCAAGTTCCATCCAGTCCCATACGCGGAACTCAGGGAAGTGAGGGACACCCTTCAAATGGTTCCACTTTTTGACTACCCCAGATAGACTTCAACCCGGAAATTCTGCGATTGGGGGAATGAACCATTCCTGGGTTTACTCAGCTGCCCAGTGGCCACTGGACAAAAAGGGCACCCTTTTTTTATTGGTTGAGTTGGGAATCGGAACCCTTCCGATTCAAAAAGCTAAAAAAACTCGGCCGAATCCCTACCCTGGCATTCTTCCCATCCACCGAACGCTTTTTTCGCCTGCAAGGGCTGCGAGGAGGCGATGTAGGCGTCGCTGTCCAGCCACACCACATACTTGCAGCTGGGGTCCTACAACTCAGATGGGACCCGCGCGCAGTTGTTCTCGCAAACTACCTGTGGATGGTTGCGAAATCCATTTCGCACCACTTTGAAGCCAGTGTTGTTTCTTGGTATTTACAGGGGAATCATCAGAAACCAGGGTTTCTTAGGGGGTGCAGGATTTCGTGCATCCACAGTATTGACGAAACACGGGGCATGCAAGGCTCTCTAAATAAAATCATGAGTTTATGTGCACAGCAATATTGTCTACTTTCGGCCATGTTTTTTAACATTGGTGAGTTTAGTCAGTTGGATTTGCCCAGTGCAGTTCCAGGGGAACAGAAGGGACGAGTTTACCAGCAAGTTGAAAAAAGGGGCAGAATCCGCTCGGCAACTGGATGGACCAAAATCCTGATGTTGGGATGCATAAAACCCAAGTACTGAATATGACAGCTCAGATTTGGTCAGCGAATCCCTATGGAAAGGGTATCCGAGTTTTTGGGTTGGTTACGAGTTTAAATGGGACCCTTGCTTACAAAAAGGAAATAGGGTGCCAGGGCAACTGGGTGTGGATGGACAAATTCCTGCACCAGTTAGGATGCAGGAAGCCCTATATATATATATATACACTGTAGGCCCAGCCTGTAACAATAACTCTGTACAGGGTTTCGACCCCACATTTACCCCCCAATTTCCGCGTTATTTACCCCCAAAATGTTTGCCCCCAATTATTGAAAAATTATATATATATATATACACCCAATTTCTTCGTTATTTACCCCCGAATTGTCCACACATTTACCGCCGGTTTGCCTCACATTTACACCCAAATTTACCCCAATTTACCCTCAAATTGCCTTATCCCGCACCACATTCATCCCAATTTTACACCATACTTACCACAAAATCGCTAGATAGTTACCCACATATAAACCAGTTTACATAAGTTTGCCCCATATGTTCCTAACACTCATCTTGATTTCACAAATAAACTTACCTACATCCACCACAAACTCTGAGCCCTGGTTCTATGACCAGGTCACCTGACATGACTGGTCAGTGTCAACATCATCCAAACTTGCGGTCAGACGCACCAAATGGAGGAGGCAACTTGACAACAATTTAAGTGGGATGGGTCCGACTCAACTCAAGGAGGGACCACTTCCAACAAGTTTCCCCAAACACGCCCACTATCTTCTTTCCTAGACGAGGGGTCACTCAAGTGCAAAGCACCATTTGCTACGTGTTCAGAGGATCCACCAATATGACACAAACTTTGAACAACTCAATCGGTTCTCTCTGGGAAAGCGGCACGCGACTGTCTCATGTCTTCATGGTACACACACAATTCACAGGCAACCACCAACCCTAACAATATAATATACTGGAATATGCCAGCTACCAGCTGGGCAGGGTTTCGGTAGGGGCCCTGAAAATGGCAATGGCTTTTGTTTTTGGGATTCCCTTTAAACCCCAGAATTGGGGGTTCTAATTTGAAAAGCTGGTGTTCGGAGTAGTTGGAGGCTTGCCCAACAAAACTGGTTGAAATGCAATCAGTGGACATTGGGTTGCTCAGTATTGACAATGAGCAACAATCAGTCAGCATACCCAACAGATAGGTCCTCTAAGCACACAACAGTGAATGGGTGGGCCATGTTTCGTTGGTTGACGTTGGATGGGGAGCAAAATTTAAATCTTAGCAGTTAAGCGGGAAATTCCTGCTAAACCACAGTAAGCCAGAATGTAAACTGTTTCCCAACAACAGTAATGTCTCAGGGTCCATGTGCCAGCTGACTCGACCCGCTACCTGCCAACCTCTCCCCATTCGCTCGCTGTCGCTCGCTTCGCGTAGCGCGCGAAGCCTGCAGCACGCGCTGCACCAAGCGAACGATGAGCCATTGGATGCGCCGGGGCTCCTCGGTTGGCCAAATGGCTGTGGGTCAAAAATAGGGTAACCCCAAAATGGCTTGCCCTGGTAAGTGGCAACATGGACCAAACCTGCGGTCCAATCCCTGGTGGTTTAATTTTGACCCACACCCAAATTTCGAAGCCGGACAGAGATGTTCAAACGATGAATACACCAAGGGAGAAGCTACCGGTGCTCTTCCACGGGTTTTTTGGGGGTTTTGGATCCAAATCAGCCGGAGGATTTCTTCTGACTGGCTGGAAGTCTTGGGGAACCCACACCCCAAAGGTTCTAAGAGTGCTTCCAGTTACATCTCTCTGGGTAACCAGGTGATTCCAATTCAGGGGGACTTGGTCTGACCAGTTCAAGAGCCAGCTGCGCATTTCAAGGGAAGCTGCTGACAATTTCTGGCACTCGCCATCGACGATTGACTCATGGAAGCTAACGGCTTAAAGTCCCGGGCTGTGAACAAAATACTCAGTGAACCCACGAAGCCCAAGCAAGGGGGAAAGGGGTAAGATCGACTGAACGCGAAACATGCAGGTCTCAGAACATGTGCAAGAAAGTTTCAAGCAAAGACCTCCAGTGACTCCAGAAACTATGAGAAACAAGGCTTTGAGGGCACCTATCATCTTCTTTGGACAATGGGCAATGTGTTAAATATGGAAACCTCCAAAGAAGCCACACCACGAGGCTGTAACATCTTCTTGGTCCACGTCCAGGGGAAACCTCCCAAAAAGGAACTCTCAAGGCAACGAAAGAGGACCCCCACCCCCCACCCCGGAAAAAAAGAAGAAGAACAAAACGACAAAGAACAACAACATAAAACAAAATAATGTGACTTTCCTTTTGAGCTCCGTAAAGGAAAACCAAATACACACCCAAACGCCGGTTCGGTCGGCTGAACGCCGCTCCTTAGCTCCGGTCTCAAGCAGCTCTGACACCTCGCAAGGAGTAAGCTAGCGGTGCTCTACCGCAGGTTTGCTCAGCCCAGTGGACTTCTATGGGAGCAAAAGGGCATCCGCTTTTTTGGGTTGGTTGAGTTTAAAGGGGAACCCTTCCCTCCCAAAAAAAACTGGAGAAACAAGCGGGGCGGAATTCATCCACACAGCTAGGGTTTTTGGATCCAAATCAGCTGGAGGTGGCTTTCTGTCTGGCTGGTAGGGATTCTGCATAAACCCAGCTCCAAAAATTGGAGCTGGGTTCCATGGTGAGGGCAACACTTCTGGGGTGCGGCTCACAGGGAAACCAGAAGGACCGCCATTTTGGGAGGCTTCCCATTTGTTAAAGGCATACCCAGCGGGGTCGCCTAAAGTTGTATATAAATGAACAACCAACTCCCACCCCCCTTTTGGAAGGTGTGTCCAACATGTTCATTTATGCACCTCTGGGTGAATGAGAAGAAGACACCAACTGTGGTGCAATGCGGGAAGCCTAAGCAAGGAACCTTCCAAGTAGCAAACTCTGCCCAGTCCAAGAAGATTTGACAGCCTTTCCACTGGGGTGTTTTGACATATGAGCACTCATATTGGGTGTGTCTGTTTCTTCGGGGATGCCAAATTGCTGGTGTTCCTCGAGTCGCAGCTAATTCCAACCCAACATGGGTACCCTCAAGAAAGGACACAGCCATGCATATATATATATATATATATACAATTTTGGGAGCATCTGCAGAAATCGTATGTACGCAGCCCACAGTTCTAAATCGAAGGCACACCTGTTCGATCCGTGTCAATCCGTGTCATCCATGCACATCTCTGCGTTCCAAGCACGAACCCCTTGGGGGCCGAGAAAACGGGTTTGTCATGGAAAAGGTCGGCTTGGAGTGAGGGAAACCGGCTAGCTGGAACTCATTTATCCCTTGCCTTCAGTGACCCGAAAGCCAGAAACAATGCGTATGTCTGTTTTCAAACACAAATGGGCGGTTTCCCTTTTCTCATCAAAACAAAAATGGGGGATACCCACTTGACCACTAACATGGAACCCACCAAAGGGTCCTTTCTACAGGAAAAGAGTCTTGGACCCCTCAGTCAGGTTGGATGGGAGGTTGCCAACATTTTCAAAATGGGTGGTTTCCAGCTGGTTTCCCATCAAAACCACCAAAGAAGGGGGTACGGCGGATGCCCTAAACTAGGGACACCCTGTAACAAAAATCCCATGGTTTGTTTGCAATATTAAGGGCATCCACCGTACAACCTCCGAAAAAGTCCACGCTTGAGTCCTGATTTTTCTTGAAAGGGTGGAAGTACATACCCCTTGTTCATACCCCTTGGCCTCCCTGGTTTCCAATCCACTTTAAACGAGGAATATAATTACCCCTTTTGAGGAGAGGGATGAACGTCAGCAGGGCTTCTGGGTTCATTTGCCCAAAGGGTATGTCAAACAGGGATCCTTACATTATACACCTGAACACTGCATTGATTTGGTGGGTTTCCCTTTACTGGGGTTGAAAAAGCCATGTTTTAAATGGTTTCAATTTTGTTTCTTTAGCCTCCGAACCCGCCTCGTCGTTGCTCACTTCCAGGCGTGTGAAGCGGTACCCGTGGCGCAGCGCGTAGATACCTGAGGCAACGAGGCAACCCATAGGGGTGGCGCGTCTGTTTTAGGGGACCCCAAATTGTTTTGGCCTTCCTTTTGCTGTTAGTTGAGAAAAACTAGGTAAACAAAGCCCTCCAAGACAAAACACACTTATATTGCAAGTAAGGAACAAGCAAACCAGTTGTCTAACTTGGTCATTTACCATGGGGTCTGAGGTGCTTTTGCTCGTACGTTTGGCTGACATGCAACTTGCCACATCTGAGTTGGCATCCATCACTCCCATGACTCGGAAGACAAGGGACACTATAGCATGAAGGGCCCAAGGGAGAATTGTGAAATCGCTGGGCATGCCCTGCCTCATGAAACACCCAGCATCTAATGGTTGCTTGAAATGCGCCCTGTGACACCAAAGAAGGTTGACAACGTATAGCCCAACATCAACATTCGAAACCAAGCTGGGTGCACAGCGGCAAAAACGCCCATAGCCGCGGTCGAAACACACTTGTTCCCCCAAAAGGACATGGGGCAACTTTTGTGAGTCCCGTGCATTGGTTTTTGTGTTGGAATTTGAGTGCCCGTGTCCTCAAATGGACCATAGAACAAAGGTTCGCATGGATCCTGGCGGATCTGAGTTATTCAATACGGATCGGCAGACAAATGGGTCGACCCAGAGCCATGGCAAATCGTTTGAAAAAAATCAGATTCGCATCCTCCCTTACTCACTTTCAGAGTGGATTGGCAAAAAACAGCTCGCAAACTTCTTTGCCACCCAAATGAGCCCAAGAAGTGCGGAAAGTCCGAGCCCGTATCCAACTCAGGAAGTGAGTCATACCCAAATGGCCATGGGTCAAAATCTAAATCGTCCCAGTGAACATCCGATTCCATCCAACCAAAAATCCACGGCGCCGACTCGTTTTTGTTGACGGCTCTCGATCGGCTCGGTCTTGGATATCGCGGGTTGCGGTTCAGGTGGAAGGTCAGGGACCAGAACTCCGAGAGCTGGTGGGCATCCAAGGCCACCAAACGCCCCAGCTGCCGTTCCTGAAGGAGAGAAGCTACCAACAATCCAACCAGGGGAACCCAGCTGCGCTGCTTTGAGTATAGGCATATACTAGGTGTATATACTGTGTGTATACTGTGTGTGTACTATGTGTCTTCTATCTATAGTCAGAGAACATAGAAAGTGCCAAAGGGGTCGGTGCACTTCGAGGCTTCCTGGAGTCAACTAGCAAGGCGCGCATTCTAAAGCTCACTGTGGATTGGTCAGTTGTTTGGCACTAAATGCCAACGGCCAAAGAATTTAATGGGAAAGAGACACGGCTCCGAGTTCTGGAGCGAACAAATGTATATGCAAAACATGACCGGGGTTCGTCTCTAATTTGTATTTGTAGCGTTCGAGAAGGTTGCAGCGGCGAAACAAAATGGACACTTTTCTGCAACATCCACAGTCTTTGGACACGCCCGGTCAGGCTTCCTCATCCTTTGAATTTCGCCCCCTCCATCGACTTTGGCCTAACACGTGGAAAAAGACCAGAACAAAAAACGAAAAGGGGACATCTAGTTCCCCCCGCCCCCCCCCCCCGGCCCGAGTTGGATGCTCACAAGGCGCCCGGCTGGGAAACCACATTTGCAGGGATCCACAAGCTTTGGACTCATCTTGGATCTGGAAAAACTGCGTCCATCAAAGTAATATCCTCAAAGAATCACCCTGCGTTTTGGATCCCAAAGCGATCCGCCGAGACTCCAAGGGTCGATCATCCCCCGGGTCCGCAGTGACCATGCAAACCCCCTCCGGCTCGACCGGCTCACCTCCACAAAATCAGTTTCCGGCGGCAGGCGGAAATGTTTGGGAAGATATGCGGTACACCCAAAATCCGTGGAGAAAACCGTTTTCATGGTAAATACCATCCTACACCTTCAACTTCACCCTTGGAGGGAATACATCAGAAAGTGGGTGATCAAAGCGATGGAGCCCTTGTTGGACCCCCTCGGCACAAAGAAATCGGCCGGATGCTACCCAACAGCTCAACAGCCCAAAGCCCAGCAGCTCAACCCAACAGCCCAACAGCCCCAACTTTGGGCTTTGATTGTACATGGGTACTAACCTTCATCTACCTCGGCTTGGCGGGTCCGGACAGTAGGTTGCCATGCCCGCAACACACAAGTCACTTCTCTCTCAAACTGAACGGGCGCGTCTTTCTATGCGGCTACCCTTCATGGTTTGGTTTAGGGGGAAACCAAAAGGAAGCCACATGTTTGATTGTTTTTGCGTTTTTGTTTTTTTTTGGGGGGAATACTTTTGAGACACCCCCCATATGCGCATTGGAAGAATCGTGTGGAAAATTGAGTGGGTCCCCTGTCCTATATCCATGGAGTTTTCCTCTGGCCTTTGTGGAAGGCGACTCATGACTCCCTTTTACCAAACGTGCCCCACAATGGTGGCTTCCTTCTGGGTCTGTTTTGAATGTCCAACCGTATCTGTTGATGACTTACTGTCCAAGGGTATTGGCCAAACAAGTCGAACTTGTTGCTTGTCACCAACATGATATGATTCTGTTCAACCACCGTTCTTTTCAAAAACCAGCTGTTTCCCCAGGGTTCTGGGTGGTTGTTTAGAAAGAAGGATGCCTGGAAAGAATGGAGCAGGTACCCCTAGACCATTGGGTTTCTAGATCGACCCACCGGCACCAGCAGCTTCAAAACTGGATCCATCTCCGCCTCTGTGAGGGCCCAAGTCCAAGACCTCGCAGCGGCACCTGCGCGTCCAATCGTGGGGCTCGGCCCATCTTTTGAAGCTTCCCCTCGAAACACACAAAGGGGGTACCCTCCAAAACTGAAACCCTCATGTTTGACACAACACAGATAGTTATGTCATGTTTCCGTGGACACGCTCAGAAGGACTGGGCTCCCGGACCGAATTCTCTTCGCACCCGCTGGGAGGTATAAAATCCGATGGGACAACCACCTATCAACGTAGGACTTTCTCCAGCAGCAACAAATTTTCCTTTTGAACATCACCCCCAAAAGGAGACTCGCTTTAACCTTTAAACTGATTTGGCCAAACAGGTGATGTATATGGCCACCAAGGGGGGGCTTTGAGGATTGCCAGAGGTCCGACACCTGGGCAACACGTCGTGGGGGCTGGTTCCTTATACACAACAAACATCCCGAGTCCATGCACAATCAGTTGGAGCGCTTGAAAAGGGGAATCCCTGCACAAAGTTGCCATTTCAAAGGTGGTTTGAAGGCAAACATACCCTCAGCAGTATTTTTAAGACCCTGCAACATGCACAGGATGTTCCCCCCGGGCTCATCGGCCATGGAAAAGAACGAGCGTGCTTTGGTTGTTCAAACGAAACATCTTCCCATCCCATATGGAAGATAAGCCTGGGTGGTATCCCCAACAGCCCGGAACCAAAGTGCTGGATTCCTCCCCAAGTGAACTGCTTCCCTCACCACTCCAGAGCTTATTTGGGCAGACCCAAACAGGGCTCACTGGATTCCCCTTTGGTTGCCAACTTTCCGGTGGTTCCACTCACACTCCTTTCTTTCGGAGGTGCCCAAAAAGGAATTTGCGGAGGAAAGGGAGGAACCCTGCCAAAGCTTTCAGCTAAAGACCTGCTCAGCAAAAGACCTGCCAACGCTTTCAGCTCAAGAAACAAACAGTGGGACCTGCGTTTCAACAACAACAAAAGAAGCTCGAAGTCCGAGTCGCCTGACACCCGGAACCTTTCGTGTCTCAGCCACATGCGCTTGGCAACTGGTCACCGCGTCTCTTTCCACCCGAAACATCGCTAAGGCCGAAACCCCGCCTCTCGAGGTTGGGGCTGCCCTCGGGGCAGAAGTGGAGCTGGCAGACCTCCTGGCGCCAAAGGCACGGCGCTTTTCTTCGCACTGGTTTGCTTAACGGTTAACGGGCGATCGAATGTTTCACCCTCCAAGTTGAGTTGGGTTGGTGTCGGGCTTCCCTCCAAATTGGTTTGGATGGTTTGTTGGGCGGGAAATGCCTGATAATTGCTCTTTCCATGGGTTGGTTGCGCCAGGGTTGATCTCACAGAAAACTCTCTACGAAACAGGCGGGTTCAAATCCCCTAACTCCTGTTAGACATGGGGTTCTTGGTGTTTTGAGGGTGAATCGACGTGAAACCACGCTTTGAAGGGTCACAACAAAAACGCAAATCCCATATTTGGGCCGCACGCATCCTCACCGTAAAGGTTTCAATTCCAAGAAGCTGAAGTCGAATCGGATTCGACGTGGAAACAGTGAGACCTGCTGGCTCTGGCTGATCAAAAGGGAAAAATTGCTTTGTTAACTGAGGCGTTGTGGAGAGGAACTAGGATCTGCGAGCTAAGTCTGTCATCTTTCTTCTACACACTTCTGCAAAACATGGCACACCGAGATCATTTTTGAGAAGGGTGCCAAATAGGAGATCTGAGACAAGATTACATTCTGCGCTACTTAGCGCCCAGTACTTGGGGGGTCCACAATATTCCGCAGGGAAGTATGTTTTGATATTCAGGCTGCGCTGAACTGTTCAGTTAGCTGGTCGGAATGGGGATACTGGGATAGCTGCGCCAACAAATGTTTTGTACGTCGACCTGCAGTGGGACAACTAAAGCAACGTCCTTGAGCTTGTAGGGCATCATGGACTGCAAGCGCTTTTCCAACCAGCTCAGCGTCAGCCACAGATCTGGCAGATGTAGGTATGATGGGTATGTGCAAAACTTGAGGAACCCTCAAAGGGAGTTGTTTCAGTGCTGCCCTTTGGTTTCCCTTTGAACCAACCCAAGAAAGGACAATTACCTTCAAATCACTCACACAGACAACAAAGACACACACAGAGAGAGATCTCGCGCGCTGAGGTCTTGCAAAGGCTGTGGATTGAGGCAATTGTGGATCATGCGTGGAGCCAGCCCCTTGATCACAGCCGTACCTCACAGCCACATTGCATCGCTGAGTGGCACATGCGGGCGTTTGCGCATCTGTGTGTGTGTGTGTGTCGTGAGAAAAAAAATCAGCACGAATGCGGAGATGGCTGCATTGCGTGGCGACTCGCAGCCCGGTCAAATCACCTCCCCCCACAGGCCAACTGCAGACACTGCAACTCACATACACCTCCGGCAAAAAGGCGGTCCAACGAAAGCAACAAACAGAGTGGGAGCCAGGAGTAGAGGGATGCTTCAAGCCTCTACACGTCTCATACTTCCCCACTCATCCTCTACTCTTTCCTTAGCTATTAAATTGAGATTCCTCACATCCCTTGCAACATGAGTAGCATCAACCCTGCCTGATTTTGACCTTCCCCAGCGGCTGAGGATACCCTATGAAACGGGACACCCCTTCAAGGAGTGCCCCTGAACGAGTTGAAAAGATACCAGACCACGATCATTCTAATAATTATGCGCTTTGCTTTGGCCACCAATCATATCTCAGTTCCTGAGTGGATTGGCCAAAAACCATCCAAACTGCGTTTCTGCCATCCCGAAGTCCAGAATTCAGGAAGTAAGAGAGCTTGGTCTTGGAAGGGGTGAAAAAAAAAGAAGACGAGACCCACCCAAATTCACCGCTTCTCAAATGGAACCCAGCCGCCACCGCCAACCTCCGAAAGAACCTCCGAGCCGCCGAGATCGAGCGTTCCGATCGGCCTGGATGGTGCGCCAGGTGCTTGAAGGCGCAGGCGTCGCGCTGGAAGAGCTCCGCCAGGAAGAGCTGAGTGATCTGCAGGTAGACCAAGCTGTCCTCCCAAGGAAATTGATGTTTTTTTTGGAGTTGGCAGCCCTTGCTTTGTGGTTTTAAAGGGAAACATGGGAAACGAAGAGGAAAAATAAACACAAACCACCGGCCAGGCTTGCCTTCAATTGCCCGGGCAAGAGGCGGACTATGTCAGGTGATGTCAGCGCCGTTGCGACGAGGAATGCCTTAGACAAGGCGAGGAAAAACAAACCTCCCGTTGCGCAAGCAACAAAATCGTTCAGAAGCGTTGGAAGCCGGCAGCGTTACAAAACTCCAACGCAGGCGCGCACTTCTGAAAGTTGTTTGGTTGGATCACTCGACCCGGCAGCCGGCAATTGTACTTGAGGCCGCAATGAGTGACAAATGAAATGCCAAGGGCACGTAAGCTGCCTCTGTCACAAACACTGTTACCAGAAAGGTGTGTGACGCTGGGGTTTGCGCACGGATCTTTGATCCCGCAGATGGGCAGCCTCTCGATGGGGACATCAAGGTACACCCGTCTCCGAACTCAGTGTGAAAACTCCAGTGGTTCTGATATACTCGTCCAACATACTCACCCGAGTGAAGTGAGAGTCAATCAGTCTTCCGTTGCGGGACATGTCATGCCTCGGTTCGCACAGAAGTGACAAGCGCGCCCCGTGACGGCCCGAGGCCAACGCCTAGAAGAACAAAAACACATTTCTTTGCAGGCCCTCTAAAAAGACACACACACACACAGGTTGGTGTTTCAACCAACAAAAGGTATCCCTAAAATTATCTTTATTGTAATCTGGGATGCATCAAATGGCCCCAGGAGTGACACGGTACATCCTTAGGTACCAACGAGCCCTCCTGGTATGTTTCTGGTTACCTTACCGTTTAAAGATATAAGACGGCTTCGGATCCATGTTTGGGTTCTTGATCTTTCTTGGGGGCATTCATGTTAATCGGTTTGACCCGGCCAAATATAGGCTTCAATGTAACCCAACAAAAAAAAAGGTCGGACACTGAACTACCTACTAAACCAACCACTAAAAGCACTACACCAACTAAAAACCTCATAAAACCCCGAACACCCAAGTTGAACCGGACGATTTATCGTTCGGTGCCAAACCACCGCAATTGAACCCCTCGGCAAAACAAAAAAGGCGTCGACAACGGCTCGCCAATCTTCCATTTGGTGAAGACCCCCGGGGAAAAAAGAAGAAAAACAAGTAGTGACACATTCCTTTTACAACCAGCAAGGGAACATATAACATGTGTTCTTAAGCAAATGGAAGCACTCGCCGGCGCAAGCGCCGGAAAAGGCGCCCGGGTTTCTCCTGGAGGTGTCGAGCCTCCAGAAAAGTCGCCGCCCGCATGGCCGCCGCCTCCGCCAGCGCCAGGTCGCCGCAGCGCGCCAGGCTCGCCTGGACCTCTCCGAAAACCGCTCCTTGGGGATGGGCCGGCTGGGTGGGAACAGACCAGACCGGCTCACTTCCTGAGTGGCCCCCCCAAAAAAAACTTGCTGTTTTCCCACTAAAGTGGTCTTCCCAAAAAGGTGAAAGTCCGGGAACTCAGGGAGTGACGCGGGGTGAATCCAATGTGTTCCTTGTTTTTGGAAGGGTCCTTGGCTTTCCCGACACAAATCGAACACAAAACGGCGAACTTCAATAAACACTGTGACTCGAGTACGATTAAGCCCATGACAACAGAAGGCTGGCCAGTTTTTCTCGTGGAGGTCTAGGGAATCAACAAGGGTGGCGGGAATGAACCTGGGGATCCCCTTAATCCCTTTCCACCTCTATCAATAATAGCTTCACGCCAAAATCCAACCATCTTCTGTCACTTCACCCAATGCGAAACCAAATACAGAGCTCTTGCCAGCCCTTAAAAGGGTACTTTCAGCACTCCCTGGCGCTGGGAAGAATGGCGCAGCCCTTGCCTCAAAGTCCGTGCTCGTCCAGCATGCCAGGGCCTCGGCCCAATGTGCCAAGAGCTTCAGTACAGACCGACCCTCTGAAGACATGGGTGAGTCTTGTGGATTTGGGGACCACCATCGCACAATGGTGCCCCCAGAAAGAGATACACACACATTGTGCCGGTTTGACATCCATGCCACCATCCTTTTCCTCATGTCTGCATGTGGCAAGGGGTCTTGGATTCTGGGCAACGAAAGCCCTCGAATTCCAGCGACGGAAGAAGGGTTATGTTCATTAGGAAAGACGAGGAAAAGTAATCTGAAAGGTACGGTTGATTCCTCAAGAATCCTGCAGGGAGGAAAGAAACGCCTGTAATCTATCATGTTTTGTGGTTGGTGGTTGGTCTACCTGAAACATCTTGCGCATCAACCACACCTATATCGGGAGTCAACCATATCCATCTGAACTACGTTATGACGTGGCCTTCCCCAGTGGCCCAATGACCCGGGTGCAACAAGCGACCTTGAATCGGGGGGCTCACCATTTTAGGGGGGAACCTGCCAAGCAACAAGGCATTTAGAGGGTGAAATCCACTGGAGCAACCGGGTTATCAATGCACTCGAAGACCAACAAGGGCAAAATTGCTTGATCAAAGGATTGACTGTCGCCAACCAGCCGGGTCGAAAGCTTTTCTTGAACCTTTCGGAGATTTCCACAAAAATCCAACAGGGCATGGCCCACTGTGATACAAATGGAAGCGCCTTCCTAATACAGGGCAACAGAAAGTGGGAACCAACCCCTCATTCACTTTGACTTGCTGGCTCTCAGTAAGGAATATGGGAATGACCCCAACAAACCATCCCGTGTGGTTCCTTCAAAGGGATCCCCAACCGATTCATTCCCGAGTTCACCGTCTGAGCCGAGGCGTGCGCCACATTTCGCAGCGCAGACTTGGAGAGACCGGCGGCCTAGGCGAGGGGTCAGCCCGGAGCCAAACAACGAGGGTCCTCCAGCAGAGAGGTTAGAATAAGGGTAGCAACTTCTTTCTCTAGTCTATTTTAGAAGGGGAACCCTCCCAAGGGCACTACTGGGGGACCTGGCAAACAACAATGGTCCTGCGTGAAAGCTCAACCTTTGATCAGCTTCCCTCTAGTTGGTGGTTTGGATTGGTGGGGCTGGAGGTTAGGAGGTAGCTTCCCATCCACCTTTTGTAGGACTGATGAAAAGGCAATTTGTTTCAAAGATCTAAGGGGCAGTTCGGTCACACCAAACGCCAGCCATACAACCTAAGTGATTCATTGATATCTTACTAAAAGCTAACATCCAGTGGTACATTGCACACATTCCTCACGGCATAGCTGGGAACCGTCAAGCCAAAGCAAGTCTACCTCAGATTCTGCCAGCCCAACAATCGATTCGATGGTCCCTAGTGAACCACAGATGATCCCAACCAGGCCATGGATGCGGGAAAACCACCCTGGGAGCCTATCAACGTGAGTACAATGTCGCCTTTAAATTTCGAGGGCTTCCCTTTCACCCACCAGGGGGTTTCACCATGTGGCTCGTGTCAAAACAGGGACCCCCAGAATGGATTTCGGTGTTCCTCATGCCCCTCTAAACCTACCAACCTTACGGCTGCCAACTCCAAACCACGCGACGCCCGTTTGGATATCTTATTTGGAGACCCTAAAACGGATTTTGGGTTTTCCGTGTGGTCTCCCTTTGAAACCAACACCAAAAGGGGGTACCACCCAAGATCCGTCACGTCGCCAGCCGAGTGGCGTCTGTCTGCAAGAGATGTGACTCGAGATCCATAGCCAGGACCTCACGCGAGGCGCGGGGGGAAAACGAGGACACGCAAGCACAAATGTCGACCTGATGTGAAGTAAGCCCCACCCCCTATCATTCATCAAGGAAAAGCCTTGGTGTACAAAACAAGGGCACCCATTGTTTTGCTTTTGGTTTTGCCAAGTCGTGGCTTCACCCTTGGAATTTGACTAGGCTACAGTGGCTCCTCTTGCCATGGCTCTGAATCAGTCTATCGCGCTAGGGTTGGGATAGATGTTTTAAAGACGCTCAAGTACAAAATACTCACACTCTAACTCTACTGGATGCGTTTTTCGCCAAGCTCCCCCTTTCTGGTCTCACGCACATTAAAACAGACTGAAATGGCGTCCAGGCAAGATGGTTTCCACTACCCCAAAATAACTACTTTAAGGGGAGCTGGGGAACATACCCCATGGACAGTGGGCACATAGCCAATAGTTGTTCAGACTTCTGTCAAAGAGCAACCATCCTTTGATCATCTCGCTCTTACAGCCCCCCCCCACCAAACCAAGGCCTCTGGCTCTTACAGCCCCCCCCCAAACCAAGGCCTCTGGCAACAACACTTGCTGCGTGTGGGGGCTCGCTCTTCAGACGGGGAGGCGCGAAGCTACTCCAAAGCTGCACGGGCACTCGCCCAAACCACGCCTTGAGGCTTTTCTCCGAGCAGCTGCGAACGCACCTGCGACTGATAGCCATGGGAATGCCGGACGAACTCCGGCAGAACTCGGTTGCTTTCCGCTCCCCTGCTAAAAAACAACTTTTAGTGGTTTAATGGAAAACCCATTAGTTGGCAAAACATATTTGTTTTAAAACATCCAAGCAAAATGCATTAAAGAGAAGGTGCTTTGTCCCATTCTCAGGGCTTCATCCGTCACTGGTTTTCGGATTTCGTCCATGGCTCTGGCCCCATGAAAGTCTCTCAGGCTGCAACGGCACACCTTGCTATGGGTCTGAAGCAAATGATTGGCAGCTGAGGGTTGGAAGTTGCCGATCGGAGTTTCAAGTTTGGTCCTTGCTATACTGTTGCGTTGCTTGTTCGGAAATGGGGAGGGGACAAACAAAAAACTACCCATGATGCAACAACCACCCGATTGTTTTTGTCTCAAAAATAGAATGAAACCCACGAAATGGGCTTCGGTGCCTGTGTCAATCGAAAAAGCAATAAACCACAAAAAAAAATGTACCCCCTCTATCAGGGCCTACCTAGCCTACATGTGTATATTTGGGAAACTTCCGCCTAGCTGGTGAATAAGGCACAGTGGAGGGGTGCTGGAGGTTGGGAGGGGTGGGATGGGGGGTGGCATTGTAGGCGTGTATATATATATATATATACATATCTATATTTATATATATGAGAATATGCACACACAAAGAAAAACAAATGCGCACATGATACGGCATTTACGAGTTGGCATGTTGCTTTTCGGTATGTAGGACCTAAGACCAGCGAAAAAGCAAATCGTGATCCTGCCTGGTGGTGCCCTTGCAATTCTGCGCCTCAGCTCTTTCTGGGTATTGGGTTTGCTGACCCCCCAAAGCGATTGCTCTGAACCCCTAAACCTGAAGGGAAAGAAGTGGAAAAACCCATCGCAAGAAGAAGGGAAAGAGCTGGCTTCCTTATGATTCGGAAGAAGGCCACCCTTCCAGCCCTTCTTTCCCTTCTTCCACGTGGCCTTTGATTCTGTGACGACTGCATGGCAAGCGACTTCCGGTTCAGGCAAACTGGTTTGGCTTCGTTTGGGGCCACACTTCCTGCCGTCGGGCTGAGTTTCTCGGAATCCCCGCGTGCACAAGGCATCCATCAGCTGCTGCGGCTTTATGGAAGAAACACATAATGTGGCAAAAGACCCTACCAAGGCTTGTTCTGGATCCACCAAAGAGCCCAAACATGAATCATGTAGAGTCCTTTAGGCATCCCAGATTCAACTGGCTCAACTCACGGAGATCCTGCTTGAGAATAACAAACATTTTCAGACCCGGATTCGACCCAAACCTGCATTCATCACTGGGCTTTCCTTGCACAATTCCGCCTTTTGAGGTGAACAAGGTTTGGCAATGAGGGGTCAACTCTGTTTGGTGAACCCTTTGTTTGAAGATGCCCAAACCACCTTTGTTCAAACACACTCCTTTGGCTTTCCAGTGCAAGGCCCTTAGGGTTGCGTACTTTTACAATCGGGTCCCAAAACGGGCTTCCTTTTGGGCTTCCATTTAAGCCAACCTTGAGAAACCTTGAGAAAGACACCCTCATAAAAAGGCAGACCTATTTCCCCAATGGCCAATTGGGTGCCCCATTCTATCTTAAACAAGTGGTACACAGAGATTCAAGTTTCAGCTTCGGTTTTACATTCACTCTATATACCCTAAAGTGCAGAAGGGGTGTGTCTTGTTATGATGGTACCCCTGAATTGGTGGTTTTTAAGGGACACCTCAAGGAAATCCATTCTCCCTCTCTCTTTTTTTTTGGGGGGGGTTCACCACCAACAAAGATTTCCATACCAATCTTCAGAAGGAAAGGGTCTCGAACTGGGCCTCCCAGCCACGATGCGGGACACAAGCTGAAAGAAGGGCCAGCCGCTGTCCAGCCAATCCTGAAGCAAAACTTGTTGGCCGGTTTTCACGCCCGCAAGCAGCTCCACTCGAAGCGATGTGTCGTGGGGACTGGGGGCTGGGGGGGGTTGGGGGGGAGCCCAAATAAGCCCTTATTAGGGGCTTAATAATAGGGCTCCGTCCTTAGTTCCCGGCCCCAGATGTGCCATGGCAACAACCCAAAATGGGTGGAGTTTCCGATGGGTTTCCCTTCAAACCGACACCAAGAAGGGTACACTCAATAAAATGCACACCCAGTTCGGTTGAGGCTACCCGTCCAAACGGTGCCACAGGGAAAGACAAGAGGTTCCACCCTTTAGTGGCAGTACCGTACCCCGGCTGTTGAACCCAACAAAAGGGCATCCTCAACATGAAGCATGATTTGAAAGAGAACCCAGCTACATATAAAAAATGGACAGAGGCTGATGACCCCTAATTTGGGCCATGAGTGCTGTGCCTCGAGACAGTGTTGGAAGACCAGGGTGCGGTTTCACAACCTAGCTAAGTCTAAAGCCTTCTTGTCACTGGGAACCATAGGAATCGCTCTATGGTCTGGTCCATCGAACGGCTTAAGAAGCACAAGTCTTAAGAAGGAGGCGGCCAGAAAAATTCAGAAAGCTGGGCCCTGAGCATGGTGATCTTTGATGCATCATCCAAACGAGTCCTCAGTGCGTGCTAATTAGCGGCCAAGCTCAAGTGAGGTCTCTTTTGGGTGATGAGCAAAGAAACATATAGGGAGTTTTGAGCATTCACCATGGCTTTGGGGTTGAGTCTGGTTGGTTTACTTGCAATGCTCAGGCAATCCACCATATGACTGTGAGGGGTCGAACATTGCAAAAGGGAAACGTCAGGATGTTCGCAGGGAACAACAATTGCGTTAACCATACCAAAACAAGAAGGCGCAAGGAAGCGGTTGCAGTTGATCCTCGCACCAATGAGCGACTGAATTGGATGTGTTCTGGAGGACGTTGCAGTTGTTCCCGCAGCGAAAATTCGTGGTTGGCTCAGTTGGCTCCCGTTTTTGCACGGTGTGTGCAAACGTTTACTCTCTTCGCTCGATTGCTTGTCGCGAGTCGCAGCGACCGTGCGTAGCTTCAGATTGGTCCCCATCCCAACTCACATCCAGGAATTGTGCTCGAAACGATCGGTATTTAGAATAGCGGGTACTTGCAATACCCTTCAGATTCACGGTAAGCTCCAGTTCTACAATTGCAGGCAAGTTCATGAAGTTCTGTTTGGGTTGCAGGTTCCATGTGGAAGTGTTCTCTAACCAACAGGTGATGTCCATCTTGTAATTAAAGGGGAAACACATGGACCCTGCAGACCCCATTCGGCTTCTCCGCCAAATCAATCGCCACGAAAAGGGCGCACCATCCACCGGACCACCGGGAGGAGCACACGAAGCGCGGCTGCCAAGGTATCCTAAGCGCGTCGGCTTACCCGAAGGCCACAAAATCGGTGGTTTCAACGTAGTTTCCCTTTAAGCCAACACCAAATGCAAAAAGATACCCTCCCAACAACACGACCCATCTTTGCAATTAATTACCATTCAAACTCTTCTGGAGGTAAATATATCCTATGCAGAGTAGGGCTTGGGTGGTCGGCCCGGTAAGTCGTTCAGGTTGTCAGTCAGCTTATCCCAAGCTGTTGAGAAAATGGAAGAACTGGGTCTTCCAGCGTAACCTTCCGGTTTAGGGACCGACATCATACCACAGTTCGTGGAAGATGGCTGGTTTTGAGGCCAGAAGCCTATGATAGGATGACCTTACACACAGGAGTCAAAGGTGGCATGGCAGAGTTCGATCGCATGGGTCTATCCATTCGATCCATGCCCAAACCATCAGGATTCGGCAAACACGAAATGCTGATCCCCCATGAATAAACCTGGCAAAGCAATGAGGGCATTTGCCCAACGAATACAGGTTCTCTTAACTGGGGCGTCCCGTCAATGAATCAGCCAGATAATCATCACTACACCATTTTCTAGAAGGGACATAGTCAATCTCGGTTGCACAACTACCCTCTTTGCACATATGGCACGCCTCCGATTCGACTCTGCGCCTCCACTTGTTTTTTCGGACTCGATTGGAAGCGGAGTCCTGGGCAATGGACCCTGACCACACTCTGACCACACCCCACATATAGTATGTACACATGTACATGTATAATATATATATATATACATATGATATATGCATGATTTGTATGAACATTACACGTAAACAAACCTGTTTCGTTTGGGTTAAATGCCATGAGCAGCTACAGTAGCCGTTGCCCACTGACCCTGGCGGAACACTGCTACTCTTTTAGTGGGGTGCCGAACCCTCCAAACAACCACAGACAAAGCGGAACCCGCTCAACAAGGGGCTTCCCATTGGAAGCCATCCATTGACCTCCTCAAACGGCGGCACAACGGGAGGAAGCTCCTCCCTCCCCCGTCGAAGGCAAAAGCTGGGCCGAGCTTCCAGTGTGCTCCAGGGATCGGACACCAGACACGCCTGCGCGTGTGTGGGCTAAGCCTTCAGGGAAGCCCTTGGTAAGGCCCTTCGCTCCCCCTCGTCCCAACCCTCCCAGCTGAACCAACCCCAAAATCGCCGAAGCCAGCCCCCAAAGCAAACCACCCCAAGCATCCGCAACACCACAGCCCAACGAAACCTGCTTGCCTTGCTGTCGACCCCGGATGAATCAACCTTGTGGATTACGAGGGCTGGGGGCGGGGGGTCTCCCCCACAAGAGGATGCGGATCCCTTCTGAAATGGAGTGCGACGGCAGATCAAAATCAGCTACAGGTTGATTTATCCTGGGTTGCCATTGCCAAAGCGGTTGCTTCCCATTCCTATGACGTCACTTCGGGAATTCCCAAGAACCATGGTTCTTGTTGATATCACCTGCTGTCCCCAGTCCCCTTGGTTTGGTGGGAAGAAGCGAGTAAGTGCCCCGTGTCCCTTCCAAGAATGGACGATTGACAAGTCAGGACTCGCTGACGGAACCTCCCAAGCGGCTCCTCAAGCCCTTGCCGGGTCATGACTTCAATTACCAGACACCAGAACAGATGGCTGGGAGCTTCTTCGGCGCCTCGGACGTTTGCTTCACCGCATGTGCTTTTACTCAAAAGCAATCCCCAAAAATGCAATTTACCCCCTCCAAGAGAAAAGAAACACAATGGCATTGTCGTTCAAAACAAATTGGAGAACCCGCCAAAGAAAGCACAACTCCCGAACCAAGAAACACCGTCTGGGTGGCCCAATAAAAAGGTTAACCTCTTGTCACCTTCACTGAATATGGACCTAAACATACAAACCTCAAGGTAAGGTTGACTTTGGGCAACTGAGCGATAGGTAGAATCGTTGATTTTCCAGGAGAACCCACCAAACAATGAAAACCCAATACCAAGAAACGCCATGGGTAAAAAATGGCACCTTTCCCCAACGGACAGCAAAAGGACATGCCCAGGCTTGGGTCCCCTTGCCTGCGCCTGCCTTCGGTTGGAGCACCTGGCCGAATCGATTTTAAGCGGATCGGAGTGGGTGTTTGATAAACCTGGCAATGGGAACACTGAACAAAAAAGCTCACCTTGTTATGTTTTCTTTTGAGGGGGGGTGTTTTCTCCATACTTGATCCGGGATTCTTACTTTATAGGGAACACTCCCCTAACAGCCAATCTGAGGGTAATTTATCTGGGGTCAACATTAAGTCACAATCAGTATACATGGTGTTAACGTGGTATTGCCAACAAGGCGGTCTCTGCTATTTTTGGCGGGACTAACCTACATCTATATTTGATTTTTGGAGCAAAACTACCCTGGCTTTTCCCACACCAATTACGACATCTCGCTTCTGGTCCATACTTGGTCCAACAAACGGGTGAACAATCATCAAACCAGAAGCAGAAGTTGTTGCACATGCCCCCGCCCCCAAACGGAGGGGCCATTGCTTCCTGCGGTCTTGCAAAAACACTGCAAATTCACAAATGAAGATAATACCTTGTGGTTCCCTTTCGGAAACAAAGATCCCCCCCCAAGGCATGGTTGATGCATATACTCAAATCAGGGTTCCCCGCCAGTTCCTCACCAAAGGGAAGCTCAATTTAAATTTGCCAAGTAGGTGATGCTGGCAACCACGAACGGGTGCACACGTATAATCTCCTCTCCCAATTAATGAATGACCCCCATTAATAATAAATGCAAATCCGGGGCCCGAGACCAGATTTCCACTCCCCACAATTGATTTTCCATTGTGCCAATACTAAACCAATACTAAGTCTTGGAATCCTTATTAGGGGGCACTTTTGGCAAGCTTCCTTGACCATCTCCAGCCATTGCTGCCGCCCAGATCAGCAAATGCTGTCTGGTCTGAGTTTTCTGCCTAGCTGTGCCGTGCTGGCTGACTGCTGGCTGCCTTCCTTTCACTGAATGCATGTCTGGCTGTCTTGAAACCCACACTGCCTTCTCGAGCACTGGACTGTCTAGCAGTCAATCACAAGCTGGCTACCTGACCTGCCTGGCTGCGCCCCAAAATGTTTATTTTTCCCGAAAGCATCGCGAAGGGCTCTTCCGTGCGGAGCCCTTGGACAAGTTACATAGAGCCAAGTTACATAGAGCCAAGTTACATAGAGCCAAGTTACACAGAGCCAAGTTACACAGAGCCAAGTTACACAGAGCCAAGTTACACAGAGCCAAGTTACATAGAGCCAAGTTACATAGAGCCAAGTTACATAGAGCCAAGTTTCACAGAGCCAAGTTACACAGAGCCAAGTTACATAGAGCCAAGTTACATAGAGCCAAGTTACATAGAGCCAAGTTACATAGAGCCAAGTTACATAGAGCCAAGTTACATAGAGCCAAGTTACATAGAGCCAAGTTACATAGAGCCAAGTTACATAGAGCCAAGTTACATAGAGCCAAGTTACATAGAGCCAAGTTACATAGAGCCAAGTTACATAGAGCCAAGTTACATAGAGCCAAGTTACATAGAGCCAAGTTACATAGAGCCAAGTTACATAGAGGTAGAGCTTAGAGCTTCGGCGTTAGCAGCTATGTAAGTTGGTTTAGGTTTCTAAGGCGCCGGGGCGGGAGTTTGATCGTCGCTCGGGATTGCGATCGTCGTCGAGGTTCAAAAACGGACTTTTTACGATTGCGCGCGACCCTCTGCGGAGATGGTCGCGTGGTCGACCCTCTGCGGGATTCGCGTGGTCGAGGTTCAAAACTGAGGACTTTTTACGATTTCTGCTGCGCGCGCGACCCTCTGCGGAGATTTGCGTGGTCGAGGTTCAAAAACTGGGACTTTTTACGATTTCTTTTCAGCGGTGCGGTGCGCGCGACCCTCTGCGGAGATTCGCGTGGTCGAGGTTCAAAAACTGAAGACTTTTTACGATTTCTGCGGTGCGCGCGCGACCCTCTGCGGAGATCGTGCGCGTCGAAGCGCCTTCGCTGTGGCGCCGCGCGAATTTGTCTTAGTCTCGGCGAACCCTCTGCGGAGATTGTGCGTGTCGAAGCGCGGCGCCGTGCAATATTCTTGCTCGCGAAACGGCCTTTGGAAGCTGTCTCGTGGTTTGCGCGCCTGCTTTCGCAATCCCGCGGTCGCGGGTTCGATTCCCCCCTGGTCCGCGGCAGCTCCGGCTTAAAAATCGCAGCTTTTAAGTACAAACGTAGTACGCGGAGCGTGCTGCTGCAGCTCCGGCAGCACTTGCGCAGAGCAACTTGCGCAGAGCTCACTTGCGCAGAGCAACTTGCGCAGAGCAACTTGCACAGAGCAATTGCACAAAGCACTTGCGCAGAGCAACTTGCACAGACCAACTTGCACAGAGCACATGCGCAAAGCGCTTGCACGGAGCAACTGGCGCAGAGCCCTTGCGCAGAGCAACTTGCTCAGAGCACTTGCGCAGAGCAACTTGCACAGAGCAGGCGCAGAGCAACTTGCACAGACCAACTTGCGCAGAGCACATGCGCAAAGCGCTTGCGCGGAGCAACTGGCGCAGAGCACTTGCGCAGAGCAACTTGCTCAGAGCGCTTGCGCAGAGCAACTTGCACAGAGCACTTGCGCGCAGCAGCTTGCAGAGAGCAACTTGCGCGCAGCAGCCTGGAACAATGCAGCTTGCGCAGACCACTTCGTGAGAAATCGCGCGGCGCAGTTCGAGAGGAAAGTAGGATGATGAGATGGAGCTCTCATGTGACCATACACACTGAGCATCGCCGCGCGCAGACACGCTCGCCGCAGCGATGTAAAAAGGTGCCGCCGCGGCTGGATGAGCACCTGTGGAAAAGCGCTTTCGGGCCAATCGTCCTCTAGTTTTTAATTGAGCCGTGTTTTTTTTAATGGTGTGGGGCCTATACACTGGAAGCACATACCTACGCGGAGGCTACGCGGCTGTCTTTCCCCCTAGGAATTTGGCTACGCGGACGCTACGCGGAACATATTTGTTGATACGTGGCTACGCGGGGGGGCTACGCCGGGGCTACGCGAATACTCGTCGGCAACCGGAAGTTCGTAGTAGCAGAAGAAGAAGTAGTAGTAGTAGTAGTAGTAGTAGTAGTAGTAGTACTAGTAGTAGTAGTACTAGTACTAGTACTACTACTACTTCTTCTACTACTACTACTACTACTAGTACTAGTACTAGCACTAGTAGTAATAGTAGTAGAAGTATTAGTAGCAGGAGCATTGGTAGTAGTAGTGGTAGTGGTAGCAGCAGTAGTAGTGGTAGTGGTAGTGGTAGTGGTAGTGGTAGCAGTAGTAGCAGTAGTAGTACTAGTAGTAGTAGTAGCAGTAGTAGTAGTAGTAGTAGCAGTAGTAGTAGTAACAGTAGTAGTAGGAGGCATGTGGGCCAGTGGCCTTGAACACGCCTTGGAGGCTACGCGGAGGCTACGCGCAGGCTACGCTGAGGCTACGCGGAATGAGCGAACTCAGCTCTGGCTGGGCCAAGGCAAATCAAATTCACCCTCTTTCTCTGAGACACGCAAGCTTTCAACCTAAGCCTTGAGCTCAAGACAAAGGATCTAGGCGGAGGCTACGCGGACGATTGTCGACAGCTCCCTTTGCTAGTGGCTACGCGGAGGCTACGCGAGGCTACGCGGTCCCAGGAGTAGGCTACGCGGCTACCATGCCAGTTCCCCTCTCCTTTTGGCTCCTGCATTTAAAAAAAAAACCGCTGCTCAATTGGGCCCTTTAGTTATTGGGGTGTCCCTCAAAAGAAAACATGTCCCCAAAAGCTGTCTAGCTGCGACTGTCTCTCTCCCGTACATGCTGGCTAATTAACCTGCCTGGCTGCAAACAAACAACCAGTAAACTGGTAAACAAATAGAATGATACATCAAGTTTCCTTATTAAACCGCTTACTCGCGGACCTTACAATTCAATCCATTTCGTCCAAATCCTATGCGAACCCTCGCATTGTTGGAAAAGCAAAACAAACCAACCCCAAAAAAAATTACCCCGGCACGAGACCCCAAACAGTGATAGGCGGCGGTCACACGCTGCAGAGTATTGTGCGGGCTGCGCCGCAAAACGGCGGTTGCTGTCAGGAAGCTGCAACATCATTTTGCGGTATTTGCGCGCACATTCACAAAGACAAGGACACGGCCTGGAACAGACACGCGCAGGAGAATGCAGCAAACACGTGTCGAAGCCAGCGCCATGGTCGTGTGTGCGTGTGTGCGTGTGTTTGTGCGTGTTTGTGCGTGTGTGTGTGTGTGTGTGTGTGTGTGTGTGTGTGTGTGTGTGTGTGTGTGTGTGTGTGTGCGCGCGTGCGTGCGTGCGTGCGTGCGTGCGTGCGTGTGTGTGTGTGTGTCTGTAAGCATCACTACAAAAGGCAAGATCTGTGTGTTTGTTTCACCAGGGTGCCTGCGTTAGTGAGTTAGCTAGCTAAGTAGCTTCTTCCTTTGTTCTCGATTGTGGCGCTGTTGCTGTTGCTGTTGCTGTTGCTGTTTTTGGGTGTTGTTGTTCAGAGTACCATCGAGACGCCGTCGCAGCACAGAAGCACCATCCAAGCATGCCCAAAGAAAAACAAGCTCGCGCGGACAGGGCGGGAATCGAGCCGGGACCTTTCGCCGGAAACCCGTGCCGCCGGACCACGAGACAAAACCCCCACGGTCCCCGGAGCCGCCAAAAAAGCAAAAAAATCGAGTAGAGCAAGAATCTACAGTAAATACCACGCGAAACGCTCGCGGACAGAAGTCGACACCTCACTTTGTGCGAGCCTGCACAGTCGAAACGCATTTCAACATCAAGCAAAAGCACGAATCTGCGGTAAATACCACGCAAAACGCTCGCGGACAGAAGTCGCCAACTCACTTTGTGCAGTCGAAACGCATTTCAACATCAAGCAAAAGCACGAATCTGCGGTAAATACCACGCAAAACGCTCGCGGACAGAAGTCGCCAACTCACTTTGTGCGAGCCTGCGCAGTCGAAACGCACTTCGACATCAAGCAAGAGCACGAATCTGCGGTAAATACCACGCAAAACGCTCGCGGACAGAGCGGGCACCTCAATCTGGCAGCAAGGCCTTTTCTCTTACCGTAAGAACCCCTTAGTGTAGACACACTGTTTGGGGAACAATTAAAAAATATATATATTTTTTGGTGGATTTATTTATAATAGGGGGGGGCGTATTTATTAACAGGGGGAAGAGATTAGAGATTTCAACATGTCTTTCGATAGGGAACCGCCCCCCTCCATGTCACAGTGCGACGTTTCGTGCGGGCATGTCCCGTTTTTGAGGGTTCCCTTCTTGGTGTCGTTTTGAAGGGAAACCAACGCAACCAGCCATTTTGTGGGGTTCTCCATTTAGAGACAACCCCCTGTCGTTGCCTTGGGTTGCTTTTCTGAGCGCGTCCTAAGCTTTCCTCCCCTTCCTTTCATGGACCAAGTGGGGCGAAGCCGAGGAGCCAAGGATGAGCCCCTCAGACGTTACCAAGGGCTTAGGGCATAGGCCCTGCCGCTGCTTGAGTGGATTGGCGAAAAAGTCTAGATGTGTCGTTTGCCACTGAACTGGTCCAAACCCAAAAAGAGTGAAGTTCAGAAACTCGGGAAATGAAAACACTCCTAGGTCCATCATAGAAATAAGAGGCCGACCTTTTTAGGACACGTGGCAAAGCCAGAGGCTCAGATCCAGTGCGCTCGAACTGAAAGTCCACCTGATTGAACCCATGGACCACAGAATCCAAGGCTTGGCGAGGCAAATCGCAGTAAGCCACAATAAGAAGCACTTTGCAACGGCAAATGAATCAAACGGCTGGCAGCTTGCCGCACCTTGCTTTTGGCAAAGGGGTTGTCCCGCCAATTGAAACTTCATCTACGCAGCGTTGATTCTAAGCCTGCGAGGAGGTCCAAGGCCGTGATATGTGTGCTCTTGTTTAATGAGTGTTCAAGGATTTCCCTCAAGCACGATTCAAATCACCTTCAGGTGACATGCCGTGCTTCCAGTTGCCTTAGTAGACCGCCAGGGCGGAACCCCGCGTTTTTCCGCAAGAGACTGCCTCTTGAAAAGCCCACTATCTTTCGCCAGGGTTGCCCTTGTGAGACTCACTTGGGCAGTATTTTGATGCTTATATTTCCCCTTGGTTGGTTTACACATCATTATGGGGTGATCTTTAACGGGGAATGCAGGGAGCCTGTAAACCAACCTCAAAAGTTGTGGAGTGGTCCCTAAACACACGCACACACACAACACAGCAACAGTTTGCTTCCCCTCCACTCACCCACAGACACTTAAACTGTTCTTCGCACTGGGGGCAAGAACCACAGAGCACCAGCCGAAGGGCATGCTCTTCTATGTTAAGTGGTGGCGAGATCTTTTTGCCAACTGAGCCAAAATCCACAGCGGGTAGATGAAGGGCAATAAGGGACAATCCCAAGCATAAATCGGCGCGGCTGCCCTTTTGGTTCTTCATTTGATTATTGACTTTAAGACCAGGCTTTGATTACAGCTTGTTTGGGTCAAGCGTGATATACAAGGAGTTTTGGGGAAATCCACCACCCCTGGGTTCACAACCTTGACAGGAGTCCGGAACTTCCCGTTACAGGCTGGTGCCCAAAACATCACCGATTTGGCCCACTTAAGGTGAGCTTCCCTTGGGTGAGGTCTTAAGGGGAACAAATATTGACCCCAAATGAATCAACGCCAGTATATTAATAAAGAGGTGTTCCCCTCCAAAAGTGGTCTGAGTTGCCACCAAACCCCGGGAGAAGCACCCCCCATTTTAATAAACAGGGGGTTGATGAATCCAGCCAACAGAACCGTCTCACCGAAAGCGGAAATTCCTCCGGCCTGAAGGCCTCTTCCCAGTTCCAAGTGCCTTGCAGAGGCTCGCCTGGACCAAAAAAAACCAGGCACGTGGGTTTTTGACGTCTCGGGGCCCCAGGGAGGGGCTGGGGGGGGGGGGGAGGGTGGGGGTGTGCCTTTGAAAGGCAGAAGGCGGCACGAGGCGGCATGAGGCGGCACGAGGATCCCAGAAAAGGCCATATGTGCGGACATTGGGGGGCCTATACCAATTGCCCAAAGAATCCGGATATGAGATCAAGCCCTCCGCACACCTTGAATTTTCTTCTCAGGTTGCTACAACAAGAGCGTCTGCGCTGTAGGTCTCCAATTTGTTGTTGAGAAACCTCTGTTGGATAGCTTGACAAGCAAATAAATGGGAACAAACCACCTGGAAGGGCCCCGAAATGGTCCCTAGAGTGCTGGTACAGGGCTGACTGGATTTCCCGTAAAAGTTCCAATGAAAATGCTAGTTTTGCAGGTCCAAAAGAGGAAATTGAGCAACCCCTGTGTTAATTCTTCGAGAAGGTGCAGTCAGGAAAGTCTCAAATTGCTTCAGCCACAGTGGAAAAGGCATGGGAAGTTTAAATTCAACATGAGCTTGTTGTTGTTTGTGTGCAATAGCACTTGCACATTGGGTTTGACTGTTTGTCGCTTGTTCATTCAAGCCCAAAGCCACACCGAGGTGCTTATTGAAACACAGTGTATAAAGGTGTTGTTCATGCCTTGTAAATGTATAAGCAAAGCACAGTGCAAAGTTCGGTTCTCGACAATGTCTGCTAGAGGGCAAAAAGGGCCACATGCTACTCAAGATGCTCACACATATGCTGCGGCAACAAGTTGCCCTGATTGAACAGATGTTTGTTCCGTGAAACTCACATTGTACAAGCTTGACGTCTTTCTTTGTGCAATGCCCCAAATCTTTGCGTCTCCCCAAGCGCAGTCAACATACAGAAACCAATGCTCTGAGTGGTGGGATTTGGGGTTTCCCACAACTGTGGGTTTCCCCCCCAAAGAAAAACATTGACAAAACAAAACACATTTTGAGGAATCTGAAGACAAAGCATTCCTCATGTATCACTAATCCGTGTTTGGGAAGGAAAACAAACTGCAAAAGCGAACCAATTATTTATGTTCTGATGTCATCCCATTCCCTTCTTTCCTTAGCAAACAGAATCTCGGCAGGGAATTTATATTATTCATCTCTTATCACTCCCTCACTTCTACTCTTCTATGCTGTAGGCGGTTAAAGGGTGTGAGGAATTAGGATGAAATGACATAAGATATGAAAGAAAGAAAAATACCAGGCAAAACAAACGTCTGGACTTGCAGTCTCAATTATTCTTCTAATCGTCACATTTTAGCTTTATTAACATGTCCTCTGCCTCCAAGGCCATGATGATAAATGGAGAGAGTTAATGGAAGAGGGACGAAAGAGTTGCCAAGACGCTGCGACCGGAGTATTCGCTTGTTTCCCATGAAAACAAAAATGGTTTTAGGCGTGTCTCAACATGTCTCAACACAATGACCCCAGACTTACATACACAAGCCCGTTTTGCAGGGTGTTCAATCAACGTCACAGCCGCCGGACAAATTCAGTGGGAGCGCCACATGAGGCGCCATCTAGAATTAAACCTGACACTTGGGGGGATCTATCCAAAACAAGGTACAGACTCGATCAGAAGGGCAGGATGCCAAAGCATGTTAGGTCACAAGCCTTCTTGTCGAGATAGTCTTCACTGCAACTTGTCGGTGTAACGAGCACTTTGTCGTGGTAACATGTTCTTTGTCGCGGTTTCAACCTTTGGGGATCTATCCAAAACTAGGGACAACATCAATCAAAAGGGCAGGATGCCAAAGCATTTGGTGGCCACCGTCCACCTTTGACCTTGCTGTATGGGCCCGGCGTACAAAGAGCATCATCATGAGCTGCCTGGGCTGCACTGACTTCCATACACCGAACATCTGACTCCCCAAAGGCCAAAGCCAGGGTTGTGGGAAATGACAACTTCTGTGATAAAGGGCTTCCCAATGACTAACCCCCCGTAAAAAAGAGGAGATTCCCTTGTGTCGCAGAAGTGGGGACAAACCCCTGGATCCCACAACCCTGTTAACAACTCACTTCCCAAGTGCATTGGCCAAAAAAAGTCCAAGCTGTTCGTTTGCCACTATAGTCCAGGCCCAAGTGACAAGAGTCCGAAACGGAATTCGCGTGAGAAAAAGCTTCACAGGTCAAGGTTGCAAAGGCCGCAAGATGAGTGTGCCCATAGCCAAAACAGACATGTCACCTCCCTTTTGGTCTGCTCTGTGACGCTTGATTGGCGGCTTGCTTTAGGTTGAACGGGCGAGTTGGTGATAAAAGCAAGCAACGGCTAGCAGGATTCACCCACCAACTCACCCAACGACACACCACCAATGGCAGATTTTCTGATGTTACCCATAGTTGGAAGCTAGCACTAAGTCTAGGTCCTCCAGATTTGAGAGCTTAGAATAAGGGTACCCTTTTTTTCCGTGGTCTATTTTAGTAGGGGAACCCCCCCCACAAAAACAAAATGGTTAAAGCGCACCTAGCTCGGGGACCTGGAAGCGGTATCAGACTGTCCACCCTTCCGCGGCAGTGTTTGGTGGTCTCTAGAGCTGAACCTGTCACAGGTTGAGTACTCCAAGCCACGGCCAGTTCCACCCCTTGGAGTCAGAAATCAAACCCTGGTACTCAAATGGTCTACGCAGAACCAGGTTGTGGTTGAGACCAGCCCCTTACTAACCTTCATCTTTCCGGGTTTGTGATTGTGGCTCATTTCCCAGAGCCAACCCAAACCCCATAGCCAACTCCAATGTCAAGGCAAGACACCCCCCTCTATTTGCTTCAGGTGCAACATGTGCAACCAAACACATAAAAAGGGGGATATGGGCCTGAAAAAAAAGAGAGCAACACCTTTTGGACAATGTTTGAACCTGCGATACGAACAAAGCGGTTGAGCCAGTTGTTCCCAATCCCGCTGGGCTTCGCACAGAGCCGTGCACCCAAGCAGGCAGAAGGGGCGGCCCTGCGAAACGGTTAATTTGGAGCTTGGCAGCAATGTGTCACTCGAGCGGGATCCGATTCGACTCCATCGGATACATCTTTTTGCCCCAGAGACGCTAGGGGAAGCCTTTGACGGAATCCAAAAGAGCACCAGCCTTGCGGAATTTCTTGTTGGTGGATCGCTTTCACCTGTTGGTGTTGAAGGAAACCAAAAGAGGAGAGTCATGTCAACAGTGTGCTTTGCAAGGCTCCGTCTGCTTTTTTCGGTGTAAAGCCCAAGAGGAACTGGCAATCACTCGCATATTCCAACCAATGCAGACTCTAAGTCGATTCGTCGGCTCGAGCGCTCGCTAGATTCACATCCGGAGTGGCATTTGTTCCGTCTGTGGAATAGAGGGTCTGGGAAAAAGAGAGACAAACTACCCTTCCCTTTTTGGTTTCCTTTTCCGGGTCCAAGTACTTTGTGAGGACGTCAAGTACATTCTTAGAAGAAACCAAGTGACCCTCTAAGTTTGTGAAAAATATCAAAATGGGCCATCCAGCAACCCCGTGTTGCTCCCCCCCCTTCCCCACCTCCACCAAGTGCTGGCTGAGCAGTGTGCGGAAATCCCGTGCCCAGCAGGCCTGAAACGACCCCACTCAGGTACCCCAAGCCCACCCGATCCGTTGTGAAAAAGCTAGTGTGCGGCTCAAAATCACAAGGGCCAGAGTTAGCCAGGCTTTCGTCTTTGGTTCCATTTGCCCTTTGCTGCCATTCTGGGAACCTATTTTGACCCACAGCCAAAAGGACAACGTGCAACACCTGGCTTTCCAAACAGCTCGGTTTTTTGCCAGGAGTTTGTATCAAGCTGGGGGGCCGGGGGTAGCGTTCGGCGGTTTGGACCTTGCAAGGTGCCTTCCCAGGTTGGTTTCAAAAGGAGGGAACCCAGCAAAGATTGGGTACAATGCAAATATGGCTGTGGTTCAAAACCGATGATATACCTTTTTGGGGTAGGTGCACCACTCATTTTAGAACCTATTTTTGTGGGAATGGGGATGTTCACCTGGGGCTACGGGCTTTTGACCCATGGCCATATGATGTTCAGACGATGTTTCATATCGAGTTAACCTTCAAACATGTGTTTGGAAGAGACCCCCGGAACCATCCAGTGGAATTCATACGCCCGCCGGGATTGCTCAGGCAGGTCGCAGGCCATTTCACGCCATCGCTTGGCCCAAGGCAAATATTTCCGTTGATCCCAACGAATGAAACCGGTCAAGTAACCGCGTCCAAGTACAAAGCCTTGTTTGTTGTTTGCTGTTGTAGGTACGCCACGGTAGGTGGAGTTGCATGGCACTATTCCCAGCGTTTCAACTGAAAAGTCGATGGTTTCGAAGGAGCACGCCCCCTTCAAAACTGTTGGCCAGGGAAAAGAATGGCTTAGGGCAGCCTTTGTCTGGTAGATGCCCTTTCAGTTTGTTACGAAGTTTCTCCTGTTCCTCACTTCCAGAGTGGATTGGCCAAAACAAGTCCAAAAAAATGTAGTTACCACTTTTTCTGGTCCTCCAAAGGGTTTAAAGTCCAACTCAGGCAGTGGCTCGTATGAACAAACCCAAGCCGATTCGCTTTGAGGTTCCCTGGAAGGAGATCATGGATATGCTTGCGCGCCCAACTCATCTGACTCCAACTCTCCGTTTCTTCCCCTCGAACATCAGCCTGGCCGAAATCATCTTTCATTGGCAACCAACCGGTGATGATCAAACTATCCAACTTCAGTGCCCTATTGCCTCGAACTTGTTGGGGTCGGTCCTCACATTGAGAACTAGAAAAACGTTGGATGAATTGGATGCTCACGCAAGGTATGTTGGTTGACGTCATGCACAAAAAAAACAGTTGATATGTGCAATAGGGTCGAAAAGACCGCCCGACTCCCCTTCGAAGCTCTTGTGCGAGGGACTCGATTCTGAAAATATACACTTGAAGAGTCAACCGGAGACAGCCAACTGTTGGCGTCCCTCTCCTCAAAGCAACCTAAACTGGGCAATTCTCTCCTCCAAATCATAATGCCATTGTATATGCGTATATATCTATATATGTAGGGGTATGACTTTTTAAGAGGACCCCCCTCCCCAAATTGTGGTTTCCCGCTGGTTTCCCTCCGAAACCACCAAAACGAGGTGGACCAAACCAAAAATGACCCCCCCTATTTATATATATAAATATACACATACACATACGTGTATACGTAGATATATATATATATATATATAGATGTGGTTGACCAGGCTACCTCCAAGTTCCCGGACGCCGGAATGCTGCATCCAGCAGGCTCCAGCCTTAGCCTCGCAGGCGAAAGCCAACCAATGAAGCCCTTCACTTCTTTTGGAGACTGGGCAAAAGACATTTGGCCATGGGTCAAAAGCCCGTACCCCCAGTGAACATCCAACCACCAAACTAGACTAAAATGGGTGGTGCACCTACCCCAAAAAGGTACCATTGGTTTTGACCCACGGCCAATTGGGAAAATCAGCTCTCCCCGAATGGGAGGCTTTGATTGGTGGAGGTTTTGTGGGGGGGGAGGGAGCTTCGCATTTATATTGAATAAGGATCAGTGGTTCGAATCCCCTTTGAGTCAAACCGCCAATTAGGGTCAACCCGAGTTCTCTCTGGAAACCGCCAATTTCAAAGGGGCCCCCTAAAAAAACAGACTATAATTACCCATTTCCGGACTGGAGGGGGCTCCTCTAAAAGCAACAGACTAGACCTATTTCCGGACTGTTGGCCACTGAAATGAAGAAGTGGTAAGTCGTTGGTATAATGGAGTGCTTGGTAATGGGAACCCAGGTTTTAATGACATCTAGGCAAGCAAACTTGGGCTTCACCAGAACCCTAAGAACCCCAAGGCTCCTACGTTTCTGGGCGGCCTTTGAATGCCCCCATGGGCTATTTCACAGTCAGGAATCTGGGGGGAGCCCACTCCGCAAGGAAAAGCTAATCCGGCTCAAAGTTACCAGGATCCTTTTTTAAAAGCCCCACGCCGAAGTGGGAAACAGGTAGGGGCGCCCCTTTCAGACAATATGTCCCTTGTAGAGAACGCAAATCCAACAAATGCAAACCCCAGGATTAATCGACCTGCTGCAGTACTTGCGGCCCCAAAAATGAAGGAACCCGTCTTAAATGGGACCCGCCCCTGAGCAATGTGCATGACCTGCGCGGATTGAATGTGATTCCACGAGCTCAGCCCATGGGCCAGCCAATTCGCAAGCTGCGCAAAGTCCCACCCCAGTCAGCGGAACCTTTTGGCGGGGGGGGGGATGCATACAGGAGCATCTGTCAGAGGTTGTGACATCCATGTCACTCTGCCGAGGCCTGTCCTCAGCACTTTAAAGTGTCAAAAGAAAACTGTTGGACATGGCCCCCTCAGCGCCCTTTGGGAAATGGAAGCTGCAACGCCGACACCGCCCCCCAACCCCACCCCGGCCTCCATTACCAAGCGGTCACGTCCCAGCAAGATCCGCGTCAGGCCCTCCTCGCTGCCTCTGAGTCTGCAGCCCCCCAACCCGCAGGACTCCAAACCCACAAAATCCGCGCCGATCGGCAATCGACAAAACCCACTTGGAATACCGATAAATGCTGCTTGATAAACCACCCGTCCAAACGTCCACAGCAGGGGGTTTGACTTCCACCTCGAATGATAAACCTTGGGATCCGTATGGCAATGATCATCCGCCCTTACTCTCGGGGGGATTTCGCCAAACTCGAAATTGGCACATAGTTTCTGAGACCCCGATAATGCTCACTTCCTGAGTGGGCGGCTTCAAAATATAATCAGCAAAAACAAAAAGAGCAAACAACATCATAATGTCCACCTTGTGCGGACAGTCAAGGTTCCGTTTCGATGCTGTTGTTCAGGTTTGCGTTCGAAAAGAAACACACACACGAAACAGCAACATTCAAAAACAACCAGGCCATCGGCTATGCTTTACCCTGACTCACTATTTCAAGTCAAACGCCCCATTGGCCCTGAGGAACTTGTGTGTTCCTGAACAACGGGGGGGGGGGTGCTGCTGCCCAAAAAAGGTGTTGCTGCAAAGGCTTCCTTAAAATGGAGTGTCTTCCTCTCCCCACTTTGAGAAATACCCGCATTTTGAGGAACACCCCGTTTTTCAAACGTCAACAAAATTTCAGGAACACTGCCACTATGAGGAACACACAATTTTGAGAAACACCCGAATTTGAGGAAACCTGCATTTCAAAACACCACATTTGGAGGAATAGCCCATTTTGGGGAACATCACCACGCTGTTGAGGAACACTCCATTTCGAGAACAGCTCATTTTGAGGAACGCGCCGCTTCGAGGAATACGCCAATTTGAGACGGACGACACTTGCTCGAAGCAGCAACTTTGAGAAAACCGGACTTCGAGAACACACCATTTTTGTTGGAGGAAAATCCCAGATTAAGACTATGGACCACATAGCAGAGCTAATGATTGTTCTTGAAATTTGGCCCAAGCCTTTCCAGCGGCTCGCTCAGAATCTGGCAACATTTCTACAAGTTTCTGACGAGCTTTCCCTCCTCCACACGCCCTGTGCGCTTCCATCTTGCTCATAGCTCATAGCTCCTAGAGCATCTCTCGGCTTCTCGGGCTTTGGGCCCGCGCTGAGATCCGGCACTGCGGTCTGCACGAAGAGCCGCAAGTCCTCCCGAAAGGCGATCCAGTCCTCGCGAGCGCAATCGGGCCTCGGACGAAACCTCTGTCCGGTTCCGGCGTAGATCGGCTCTAGCGTTGGTTTAGGCCGCTAACACCGGACTGAAGTGGGTGGCATTGTTTTTCTGCGGAATTCGGACTTGGCCGGATGGAAGTCTGGTGAATGTGGCTAAAAAGTGTTGCTTTAGGCCGCTTCAAACAAAAGTGCTCGGCATTTTTGTGTGAAACGCGGTTGCTTTTTCATGCGCCGAATCCATAGGGAAGCCACGGGAAGCTCCTGGCCGTTGGTCTGTGGCCCTGACGAACCTTCCAAAGGACACCTGAGTCACAATCAAACTCGGTATTCAAATGGTCTACCCACAATGCATGTAAAGAATTAAGAAGGCGGCCGCATCTATTTATAGTTGGGATCGTCCCTTACTAACCTTTGTCTACCCGGGTTTTGATTGTGGCTCACCTTGTTTTGCTGCAATGGCTAAGCCCTGCGAGGGTCTGAATCAAACGCCGTTCACATTTTCTTGGGCATGGGGGGGTGTCCATTTTTGAGGGCTCCCCAGTTTTAGTGGCTGAACATGGACACCAAGAAAGCCACCACCAATTTGGGGTGTCTCGGAAAAACCGACACGCCGGTATCTTTTCTGGCTTTCAGGCCTTGGGACGGGGATTGAATGGATCATGTAGACACAGGGGTCAGAACCCTGCCTGGAGTCCTTGAACCAAGTGGCCTACTTCAACACTCTGCTTTTCTCCAAACGCCAAGGGAAGTCTTGAACAACAATCAGCTTAGGGCCCAACTACTTGGATGATTGATCTCCTGCAACATCTTAAGTGGCAATATGTAGAACCCTGATCCTCCTTCACAAGGCTTGAAGTCCCTGTTGCCCTAAATCAAATGTAGAAATGGGCCCTAAGCAAGTGGGTTGGCCAAAACAGCAACCAAACTGCTTGTCTTCCCCAAATCCCGAACCATGTGTAAAGTTCATGAACCCAGGGAGTGAGTCGTAGTCAGACAACGGCCCAGTCACTCTTTGGTGGCAGCAAAGTGACCTGGCAAGGGGAGTTTGGTTGTAGCAACCTCCCACAACATTGATGTTTTACTTCCCATGTTGTGGGATTCTCTTTTAGGAACGGCTCGGAGTGAGCCGGAAGAAGGTTGCAACTGAGGGACAAGTTCTGATAAATAAGTCCGCCCAATAGCGCAGAAAAGGATGTACTTCTGAGCATCTGCGCAACTCCTTCCAAGTCAAAAACATGCCCAACACTGATTTTCTGCCCTTGTGTTGTGATCATATAAGTTCTCAAAATTAACCGGCTGGGGCAAACCGCTGGTTTTAGTGCTTGTTCAACTTTTTACCAAAGTGCTACTTTGAGGATTTCCATTTTTTTGAGCAGCCACATCTTTCAGGAACAGCCAAAGGAGCAACCCCAGCCCCCCAAAAAGCGGGCAGGACCCCCCTTTCAACTTTCTCAGCGTCCCGGCAAAGCCATGAGTCACCTCGTCCTCCCCCTGCGCTTGGGAGTCTCGTTTTTTACCTGACAGACACTTTGGTTGCTGTTGACCCCCCTGCAAAAAGTTTACCTTTTTGGGGGTTTAGCGGAAAACGCCTTGATTTCAACCAAAAAGTTAAAGTCTAAAGATCCAACCCAATAGCAATCAAGCTGGAACGCGCTGAGTCCATGGCCAAACCCGCAAAAAAATTAAGACCTTTGATACGCGGCTGCGAAAGTGGAAAATCAAGGTTGGTTCAAATATGTTGGTTTGAGCATGCCTACTCCCCCCAAGACCCTTGCTCTTGAGGTCTTTCCGGATCAAAGGCGCTACGGGTCCAAGAGGCTTTTGGGGATACTCTCAAACCCGAAAAAAAATCCGCACGCCCAAAACACACAAGTCGAAGCTAAAACCCTGGCACCAGGGCTTCAAATGGCAACTTCCACGAGAGCAGTCCAAACCGTTGGGCAACTGAGTTACTGTGGTGAGTGTGCTGCATGTTAGCCCCGTTATCACTGCAGATGACAGAAGATATTGATGTGTCACACCTGGTCTTGTTCTCTCACGACCACCTTGTTGTTGAAAAGCAAGTGAGCGCTGTACACCACCCCAGGTTCTGCAAATCGATCAGACAATGTGCAGATTCTGGCAGCTACATTAAACAAACCTTGACGTTTGAAACAATATCAAAGCAAATCTCAGCAATAATGAGGATACACATCTTGGATGGTTTACACTCCCCTCCAAATCACTACCTCCAAGGGAAAACAGTGTGTATTAGAGACATAGCACTATGCAGCCAATCTTTATGAAACTATACCCCATGCTTCCCTTGGTCAAGATGGAAGCCAGAAGCAACAGTCAGTCGATGGGAACACGGACACTCAATACCAGCCAACCAAAGAAGAGCAAACCGACTTTAAAAAAACAGAAAAGCGCGCCTGATTAAACACATCAACCGTCCATCCGCTTCGGACATGAAGGCCCGAACTAAACCCATATATAAATGGATATACATGGCCATGGGTCAACATCCAAATCGTAGCCCCAGTGAACATCCGATTCAATCCAACTACTAAAATAGGAAGCCTAACATGGGTGGCGAATTTACGTACCCCAAACTGGGATCCCGTTGGCTTTGACCCGCAGCCACATCAGAATTCCCGTGGCCTGAATACCAGCAAGCCATGCGGCAGGGATCAATCGGCACAGCTCATTCAATCCATGGTCGAATGAGTTAGCTGAACAGAGAGGCCAGCCAACTGATTCAATGGTTTAATTCGGAAAACCCATGAGTTGGCAAAAGGTTAAAGTCCTAACATCCCTTGGCAAAATGCACCAACGTCATATATATATATATATAATTATATATTTGTGGTCACCCCCCCCCCCCAGGGCCTACCTGTCCACTTCAAAATCCTTTTTGAAGTGGACAGGTAGGCCCTCCGGGGGGGGGAGGTGACCATATATATATATATCAAGTCCACATGGATCCGTGACCAAATCGCCACGAAAAAAGCTTCGCTCGCTCCCTCGCCGGCGCCTCGCAGGAGAGCCTTGGCCGCAGCAGCGCAGGACAGGCCTGCGACTGCTATGGGTCTTAGCCTCAAAATAGGAATCGGTCTTTACGCAAATCGCCAAGTTTGTGCGGTTTCATTTGGCTGTGTGTCACAAACATGTGCCAAAACGGCACCAATTGGTACATGGAATCAAAGACTAAAGGACACCCGAGTCATCAAACCGATCGGTACTAAAATGGTCGTAATCCCAGAACCATGTACAGGATATCCGCAGCTATTTATGGTTGGGATTGTCCCTTACCAACCTTCATCTACCCGGGTTTTGATTGTGGCTCAAGTGATTGCGGTTTCATCTGGGATTCATGTTGGTTTCCGGTTCTTAAGAAAGGGTATCCTTTTTGGTTGATCCCGAAAGTGGCAGTTTGAATGGAAACCACGTGTAACATGGTTAACTTCAAGTTGGTTTCATGTTGGCTTCCGGTTCCTAACAAAGGGTTCCCTTGTTGGTTCCTGCAAAAGTGGCAGTTTCAATGGAAACCACCTGTATCATGGTTGGTTTGATTATGGTGTCATGTTGGTTTCCCTTCAAATGGTCCTCAACGTGGTTGGCTTCGTCTGGTTCTCTTTAAATCGCAAACACATGGCTTGGTTGCTGTTGACCCACCTGCAAAAAGTTTAACTTTTTGAGGGTTTAGTAGAACACAAAATTGTTTCCCAAAAAGTTAAAGTCTAAAGATCCCACCCAATAGCAGTCAAGATGGTTTCCCATTGGGTGTTTCCTTTCAGGCTCAGTATGTTGGGGTTGATCCCAACCTGCTTGGAACAAAAACGCTGCCCCAAAAGCAAGAAAAGGCACAAGTAAAGGACTTTCGGTATGGGAAATGTTTAGATTCTACCATGTTGTTGGCTCAGGATTGCAAAAAAAATGGTGTTTGATTAAAAGGCAGTCCCATTTCAAGGCAATGCTGTCAAAGTAAAAACTGAATGCCAATTTTGCAACATGGGGTTCACCCAATGGCACACTTGCCCAAAGGACCTGGAAATGAAGGGGAAACCAACTGACGAATCTCGACTAGAACCCCCACAAGCTCTCTGACCTGTCACAGCAGGACCCGAAAATAAGTACGACATGTGGAAAAAAACCTCGTATTCGTCTCAGGTTCGTCTAAAATCCCTAATACCGCATCATCCTTCGAAACCCAGAAACAGGATCGTTCGACCGTTTCCCTCGCCTGATCTTGACCGGGCTGCCACATGCAGTGCCAGTCCTGAACAAACACGGTGAGGTGTGGCGAATTCTATGGGTGACTTGGCGGAAAAGCTTCAGGCGCAAAGAGTCGCAGCAAAGTGTCGCAATTCGCTACGTGTGAGTCTTTCTGCACAAGCAACCGGAAATAAGGGAGAAGTAAAAACGACCTATGAAATGACCCGGGTAAAGAAAACAGAATGACAAAGTGGACGTGTTCTGTTAAAACAACTACGTACTAATTAAAAGGGTCCTCATGAACGAGCTCGTTTCAACCCCTGACCGGCCATTCGCTCTCTGCGTGGTGTGTACGCCACAAAAGGATCACCCCGAAGAAGTTGGTTGGGTTTCAGACGCTTTACAGTTCCCAGACCTCCAGCGGCCAGGAATAAAAGCGACGCCTGTTGGTTTATTGCTTCCTTGTGAAGACAAACCTACCCACTAAGCAAAACTGGGGCGCCGCTGGAGGCCTGGTAGGCGAGAATGTCGAAGAGGAAGACAGCAATGACTGGAATTGGTTGGAGAGAGACATGCAGTCTGTTCTGCGGGGTGCGCCCACTGGGCTGTTCTCGAATCGGGCCCGGAATTGGACGTCAGGCATTCTCTCACCTGTTGACCACCAGAGACAAAACAAATGATGCGTGTGATGTCATTCTCCTGGACTGCGGGGAAATGAAATTCATGGGACGCTTGCGCGTGTTTCCCATGGGGTGGGTTGAAGCTGTGATTCTTGCCTTTACTGAAGGTATCGATTGATCCTCCTCTTTGCGTTCCCTAGCACAGTTGCACACCCCCTGGTTTCCTCCAAGTAAGCTGCTTGCAGAGCTGCAAAATTCACAAGAAAAGGCCATTCTTTAGGGATCCCAAGCCGGTTCCCCCCCCGACATTTTATCGAACTTCCCGGGAATTTCCAGGTTCAGACTTTCCTGCCTTCCTGGAGGATCCTCCTTTATAGTGATCCTCTTCATTACCACAACCCCAAACAAGTTATCCTCAGAGCTACATACGGGGTGTAGGACAAATAAGGAGTTTGCATCCCCTTTGCTAAGGACCCAAATAATTTGAGTAGGGTATTGGCCTTCTTTTGAACAGAGTCAGGAAAACCGGAGTTTATTCCCAACCATCTATCCAGCGCGCATGCTGGGACCCATCTTCTTCATATCACATAGGCCCATATTGTTTATAGCGGCCATCTGACCAGCAGTCCCGTCCTGCGAGCGCTTCTGGTCTCTGGCGGCCGCCTGAGTCACTCGAACTCTCAGCGCCCGGTCCGAGAACGAACACGTCCAAGTGTCTACAAAATGGACGCTGTACGTATCCTTGAGGGAGCTCACTCCCCACTGTTCGTGGACTTTATACTTTGGCGAGTCATACGCCCCCAAGACACCCCTTCGGTAGGAAACTGGACCAATCCCATCGCCTCCTCTCCTTTTTGAGTTCTCTCCAGATGGGGACCCCGCCCGGGATCCCACGCAGCAGCTCTGGCACTCGTCGCCCGCCAGCCGAGACCTGCCGAAGAAATCGCTCAGAGCCGAGAAGGAAAGACATTACCGCGGCTGTAAGGGCGGACGGGTTATCGCAGGGTGCATCCGATATCGTCAGATGCAGTCTTTGTAGAGCAAGGCGTGTAAAGCGCTCGGCCTAGCTACAGGCTGCATCCGGAGTCGGATGCAACGCGTTGTAGGGCAATCGCTAGTGGTGATGCAGTGCTCACGAATAGGGTTCTAAGACACATTTGGTCTAGAACTGCATGGCTCAGGATTTTGGCTCTAATTTGCAAATCTGGAGTCCCAGACTGCATCAGCACTGCTCAGCAGCGGTTTGAGGACTTTAACTGCTGACGGCAACACTCCAAATCGGTAAATCACTGGTATCTCTGTGTTCGGGACGATGCAACGGGCGCCCTTCCACTTGGCTGATAACGGTGATTACGTTAAGTGCAAGGAATCCTGCCAAAAGGGCGTCCAGAGAAAATCCTTTGGGAACCCTGAAGGCGAACCGAATGAAAATAGCTTGTTAGTACATCTTACTCCTTCTTCTGGTCAAACAGCAACTGTTTTTGGCTCCTCCTGAAACCGAATAGGCCTCATTGGGCGCTAGGCATTTTTTGGGGGAACCTTGCAAAGGACATGTTCAAAGCGATTGCAAAGGCCTCGGGCCCCACTGGACGCTGTGTAAGGGGGTCACATCCTCGCAGTAGGCGTCCCAGGGACCTTCGCCTTAGCGGGAAGACGACATCCCTGCATAAAGAGTACATATATCAAATATATAAAATGTATATATCATGCATGCATATATTAAACCAAAGACGTTTGTATTTTGAATTGCACATATGCAACTAGAAATTCAACATATGCGATGTGATATGACGTGATGCGCTGTCATGCACTGTAATGTACTGTAATATGTCATGTAATGAAGTGCAAAATGATGAAAAAGGGCCATGTAATATAAAAAGAACATGTGCTGTTATGTATTATACTGTCGTGCATTGTATTGAACGGTATGACATGTATGATATCGTATGTATGTACAAGGACCATCTCAAAAATGTGCGTGTGCGTGTCGGCGTGGGGATGTGTCGATGTGTGGAGGGGTGGATATGTGAGTGTGTGTGTGTGTGTGTGGGTGTGCATGCGCGTTTGCGTTTGCGTTTGCGTTTGCGTTTGCGTGTGCGTGTGCGTGTGCGTGTGCGTGTGCGTGTGCGTGTGCGTGTGCGTGTGCGTGCGCGTGCGCGTGCGCGTGCGCGTGCGCGTGCGCGTGCGTGCGCGCGCGCGCGCGCGCGCGCGCGCGCGCGCGGCGCGCGCGCGTGCGTGCGTGCGTGCGTGCGTGCGTGCGTGCGTGCGTGCGTGCGTGCGTGCGTGCGTGCGTGCGTGCGTGCGTGCGTGCGTGCGTGCGTGCGTGCGTGCGTGCGTGCGTGCGTGCGTGCGTGCGTGCGTGCGTGCGTGCGTGCGTGCGTGCGTGCGTGCGTGCGTGCGTGCGTGCGTGCGTGCGTGCGTGCGTGCGTGCGTGCGTGCGTGCGTGCGTGCGTGCGTGCGTGTGCGTGCGTGCGTGCGTGCGTGCGTGCGTGCGTGCGTGCGTGCGTGCGTGCGTGCGTGCGTGCGTGCGTGCGTGCGTGCGTGCGTGCGTGCGTGCGTGCGTGCGTGCGTGCGTGCGTGCGTGCGTGCGTGCGTGCGTGCG